AGATACAGAGAAAATGAGTTCTTGCTTCTTTTTAAATTGAAGATATTCTGATAACTTGTTCGATAACTTGAAAGTTATCGATTATTCAGAAATCAAAAATATTTTATAAAATATACATTTATCGATCTTCGACATTAATAATATGATGGATCCGGATTTGCAAAGAAATCCTATTATAAATCTGATCCTAGATTATACTCTTTTTTTTATTAAAAAAAAACAACTTATGTAAATATTTATGAAAAATATTTGAATTATTTTTACACGTTTAAACAGTTCGGTTTATCAGAAAATATATTAGCCTATTACAAGTAAAAAGGTTATAAAACCTTCATCAATAGCGAAATTTAAAGCAAAAACGTGAATTACTAGCGAAGATTTAAGATCTGTTAAGTCTCGTGTAGAATATTATTTAATTAAATAAATAAAAAACAATATATTAAAATATAAATTTTACTTTAAGCTGTAACTTTATTAAATTTTTTAATTAAATAATGACATAACTCCATATGTGACATTAATTGGTTTGTAATCCTTTAAAAATCAAATTTTTACATATACAATATAAGCAAAAATGTTAAAATTTTTGAGTTAATTTAACTACTTAAACTAGTTTAATGACATTAATAAGTTAACTTACAAGATAATTGCAGTTTTAGTTGTTCACTTTAAATTTACAATTAAATGATTTTCTTTAATAATTTTCATACAAAGTTAATACAAAGTAATTAATTAAATAGAATAAAAATAAAAGTGCATATTTATAAAATCATAAAATTAATTAATTAATAATTAAATAAGGTTTATTACGTAAAACCTTTTAAATTTAAGCCATAATAAAGTTATAACTTTGTCTGTTTGATCCGGTTTAATTTCTATTCGGATATCATGATTTTTTGGGTAGTATAGATCGGAATTTCTTTTCTTATCCCTCATACATAATGATTGAACGGATTACTAATAGATCTTATTACTGATAGGCCTACATTATTGCAAGTTAAACGGTCAATAAAAAGCAAAATTATATAAATTACAATATATCGATTCATGTTTTTAACAGATCCATTTTTAAATTTTACATCTGTACAGATTTGTTAAGATCATACAAGTAAAGTGAAGCTTTTGTATGATAATTTGTACTTATTTTCTATTAATATTTATCTTTTCCTTTGAGACAAGTTAATGATTATAAGTGTTTTATATTTATCGAGACTTTGAAAGTTGGAAATTTTATAACTTTTATAGAATTTTTTTTTTCATTATTTATAATNAATAATAATTAAATAAAAACATTGAAATAATCAACTCAATTTACCAGTACATAGTTACTCTTTGGAAAAATATGCCTCTAGCACATCTCCATTTAGTAAATAAATCTGTATAAGTGAGTAGGTTATTCCTGTAACATACCACTTCTATATATAGTTATTCTTTTCGCAAACTCTCTTTATCTTAAATAGTTAAAAATGTAAGAGAATAAATCTTCTACTACCTAGCAACCATTTCATTGGATAGGCTGTAGAAATTAATGGGCTTCTTTAATCTCTGATCTAACTTCATACATTTACGGATTGGTTTTGCAAATATCATTTGTCCATACAGGAAGAGAGTTAGATGATTTCAACAACCAATCAGAAGATAAATTAGACAAATAGCAAAGCGCATCTAAATCGCATCTTATGTATTCCTTTCACGTAAAATCACATCTAACCATTGAACATGATTGTAACAATAGTGGCCTTAGGCATTTACCAGCAATGTTTCCTCTCGATTATTTCTTTTTAATACTGTATAATAATTTGAAATAATAATAATTTCAAACCAGCTGAAGTTTCTAGAGTTTCCGATGAATAATTAATAGTAAATAAAACATAATTCATGGCATTTACTTATCAGATATTACAAAATTAACAAATTATGCTTATTCAATTTTGGTAATAATTATTGAGTCTACTTTAGGAGAAAGGGACTTGCATTTCCAATTCAATGACTTTCAAGGACAGAATCAAATAAGCGCTATCCAAGGACAAGAACAAGTTTAATTTTCTTAAAAAGGAATTGTATTGAGTCGATTAATTTATAATTTGTAATTAATTTGAATTCTCTATTATCACATAAATATTTAATAATAAATGCCAACATGCCAAATCGAATAACCATAATTATAATACGAAAATCTAATTATTTTTGAAGAAAGTTATCAGATTTTTAATTAACCAAGATTTTTCTATCTAATTTTAAACTTAAATTTCAAATTTACCGAAAATTAGAATAAACATTTTACATGGAATCAGATATTTGGCTTTCAGCTAAAAGTTATACAAAACAAATTTATTGATTTATATTTTAAGAGGGCGGTTGAACCGTTCGGAATTTCAAAAATGGCAATGGAACTGTACTGTACAGTACGTATTATATAATCCCAATTTGTTTCTCTCTCCTGGTATTTCCCCTCCACACTAGCTGACACTTCTCCCATTGTTTTCGCAACGGTGCTCTGCATGAAGAATAGAAGTCTTTTGGTTTGTGTCGGAGTAATCGCATGACGAATTCTCTGACTTTAGCATTCTGGTTAAATCACCTGTCTACTAGGTTTTCTTCAAATGACCAAACAGGTGATTATCGCACATTGACAGATCCAGACTGTAAGCCAGATGATCCAGAATTTCCCAATTCTGTTGATTGCCTCCATCATGTTCAGGGTGGTGTTACCGATGTCAGATTTCTATTCTGCAGACTAAAGACTTCTACTCAATTGTTGCCAAAACTATGGGATAAGTGTCTGCATATAGAGAGGAAATATCTTAAGAAAGAAGTATAAATCGAGACTATATAACACATACAGTTCCATCGCCATTACTGCAATTCCGAAAAGAAGTATATAACCGCCTCCGTACCTAAAACTAAATTCAAGACGGTTATTTCTGTTTATCAAATCAATACTTAAAACGGATTAGCTATTTTAGTTATCTTCATATTTATAACTTTAGTATTGATGTTTGTTATATTTTAAAATACCGTTTTTGAATGAAATTGTTGTTGTATTTTAGATGAAAAAAAAAAAATACAATAATTGTCTAATTTTATATTCTTTTTATAGGAACTTTCAAATAAGATTTTTTTTTCTTTCTAGCTTATTCAATTTAACATGTCTTTATATGATTTAAACCGGTTGTATATTAAAAATATAGATCTTGTCTATGCCCATTTACTAAAGCACATTTTAGTAAAAGAATCAATAAATTTGCATTTAAAAAATCAAAATTTCCTCTTTGAAATTTGTTTTGGGCCTCTGAGAATTTTAAAAATTATTCGAAAACATTATTTAGATTAGACTTTGATTTTTTAATAAAAAATTATTATTTATTTATTATTTTACAGAAATTTTTAAAGTATAAAATACCTCACATAAATTTCTTTTAAAATCTTAAATTAATTAAAGAATGAACAGTACAGTACTACAAGGAATATCTCTCTGATTAATGAGACTTATAGATTTAAATATTATATTATTAATAGTAANTCCTATTTGTAAAACCTTTACATGTGAAGTAATAATATAATTTTCGCAAAGTTCTCATGCTCAAATCCAATTATATGAACATGAAACGAAGTAACCGATATAAATTTTTTTATATATTCAAGTTAAATACTTTTTAAAACATCATCTAGATCCTATTTAGAAGAAAACAATTACGAGACATAAATTCTATTAATTTAATTGATGATTGTAGATAACATAAACTTTTTCTATTAATGTCAAGTAGATCTTAAAAGAGATTATTCGAATAAACAAACGATCTTCTCAACCTGAGCTTAAAAACACCATACCATTTATTTCTTAGTTATAATCGTCCGATGCATTTTCCATTAACAATTCACAAAAACCCTATCCCGAAAAGAGTCTCTAAAGGTTAATTGCATTGTGACACGTGACACATTTGTGAGGGAGATTGCACTCAATACAAAAGAGCTTTCGTAAGGCTGATAACATTTTGACAACCTTTCGGGTGTGGTTGGTGCAATTGATGGTGAAATCGCTGAAAGCAATCGATTTTTATCGAATGAGAAACACTTTAATTACCTAAGTCTTAGAAAAACTCCTTTTTTTGATAACAATAAAAACTAATTTAAACTTTTTTTTTTAATATTTAAAATATATTATAAAAAAAAGATTAAATAGGCAAACATGTTTTCCATAATTTATGCCAAAGCCGAAAAGCAAAAATTTAAATATTTTATTAAGTATTTTTTTATCGCACCTATTTAATCGACTAATTGGCTGATATAAAAATGTTATGGGTAATTAAATTAAATGGTTTATTCATTCATTTGATACAGTTTAAAAAAGAAAAAAGAACAGAAATTCGATTGGATGTAATCAATAAATAGAGCCATATTAAAATTAATATATATATATATACCAAAGAGTTATTAGTAGAGAAATGAGAATATTTATAATTTACTAATCTAGCATTAATAGTATGTTATTAAGAAACAATATTTAACAGTTGCAAATGAGATTTATTTTCTTCTGTTATTTTTTTTAATTCTTTGATATAATTATAGTATTTTACTGAGTCGTAGACAGCAAAATCAATCTTTTCCACCCACCTTCCGAACCCAAAGACCCTTATCTGAGAATGAGTTCTATTCGTGATGCTCTTAAAAATATCTAAAACAGGTTGTGTTAGCTATCTCTTCGAGTTTTATAGCTTTCTGATCATCATCAATTCAGAATATCTATGGTAGAAACTTAAAGAATTTAACATAATTTAATACTCGAAAGATAGAGGAAAAAATATTAACTGCTGCTGTTTCTTTATGAGAATATGCTTAAAAACTTTTTGATAAACGAAAATAATCTACAATTAAATATATACTCAGATAAAAGGTTTAATATATATTATATTATGATAAATACAATAATTTCATCAATAAAACTATATTTTGTGCCATTATACAGTTATATTTGATTACTGTTTCTTATTCTTTAACAGCAATAACAATTCGAAGGATATACAAAGGAAAGAAAAAGAAAAAAAGAAAGGAAGATGTCGCATTCACAACTCGAAATTTCTGTCAAGTTATTCACCTTATCTGGTAGGATAACCTCTATCACTTGAAACAAGCCTATCCAGTTTACTTAATTAGTACGTAATTATTAAGACAACCTAATAAATAATGTACAGTGTGCAGAAATAACATTAACAGTATTTTAAAGAATATTGAATACAATTCGTCAAAACTTTTAACTCCTACAAATTATACACTCCTCCCATTCTGTTGTCTAATTGTTAACAAAAGACAGAGAAGTCTGATACTTTCTGTGGCTGTCAAATTGAGCTTACGTGATTGTAGTATTAAATAAAACAACAGTTGGGACAATGAACTAGAAAGGTCATTGCTAAATTTCTTTTATAATATAAATACATATTTGCCATACATAATTTTCGTTTGATATGCATGGTTATAAGCATATCGAATAATATGGTGTAAATGGAATGGCTAATAATGCAGTTCAACAATGAGGACTAATTTTCTCTATAAGATGTATGAAAATTGATCCAGTAGCATTTTAATTTTCATGAATATAATTAGTATGCAAGCATATTCCAATGAACTTCTTAAAATATTAAGCCGAAAGAATATTAAAAAGTTTGAATTTATATTCTATATTAGCTCTTGAAAGACATTGTAATATTAAAGTAAATTTTATAATCAACAAAGTGATAACTATGTGTCAAATTCATTCTATGACTGATTCTCAGATTTCTGAAGTATATTCGAATTTTGAAAATCTCTTTCTTATTAAATTAATTATAAATATTTATGAAATAATTGTAATTAAATAATTATTTCTGGTCTGAAATAACATAATTTTAAAAAATAAATTTGATTTCAACATACAATTAAAAATGCTTTTTAAATTAAAACATGATTGTAAACAATTTGAAATCTGCTTTACATAAATAAATTTATGAAATAGTGACAAGTTGTCATTTTATATTTTGAAATTTAGAATTATATGTTTGCAGGCTTATTAAAATTTCTTTTTTTTATTTAAAAATAAAATGCAAATCATATTTTATTAAAGAAATAATGACATTATTTTTTAATTTCTATTATAAAAAAAGTAATATGTAAATGTAACATTTTTATGCATTCTTTAAACAGTAAAATAGAAAATAAATATATAATATTATATTTACTTTTTAATTGTTGTTATTAAATTGGTGTTGTTATAATTCGATAAAAATAATGCTAAATTAAAATATTTTTTATTATTGAATTAAAATATCACTATAAGAAATTTTTATATATTTTTGACCCATTTTGTTTTATTCTTTTTGATTTTTTTTTCTTTTAAAGTAGAGAGATATCGACTTATAAAATATATTTTTTTCATGCGGTCTAGATAAATTTACGGAGATAAAAATTTAGGAAAAGGAAAATGCTAGATTTATATATGCTGACCTCTTTTTTAAGATCCTCTAAAGAGAGGCCTTATACATATAGGTTACTGCCGAAATTTTTAAAATATAGAATGAGAGAAGTATAATATACACTTGGGTTCTAATTACCAAGTTTTTAAATATGTTTCGATGGAAAAATACTTAATTCTAACGTGTAAAACTTGCATTAAACTGTTAAAACTAATGACAAAGCTCTATTATTTATTAAATTATAATTTATATAATATCAAAATTAACGTGTAGCGACATAATTATTAACTAGTTGACTTTCAAAAATTATCTAATAAATTCTGTTCCTAATTAGTTCCTATAGTTATTTAATCAATAGATTCATTATAAAAATATGGGCTTCATACATGAAGATTTTTTTGTGTCGCTAATTTCTTCTAAAAAGTGTGTACAAACAACACAAAACTTTATTAATGATCTACACCTCAAATGTTAATAAGTTCATCAGACTAAAACAACCAGCAATTAAAATTTAGACCGTTCTAAATGTTTGAGTGAGAACAAGTAACCTGCGAATATCGATGACGTTTATCATTAAGACACGTTGTTTTTGACGTAATTATTTCAACTTACGTAGATTATACATAGAAGGCAATGCCGTTTAAGTCACGCCGACCAATGGGGAGATAAATAGATAAATTCAGCTTGAGTAATTATCTCAAGCGGTTTGTTTAATTATAGCCTTGTAACTACTCCCAGCTCACTACCTAATTACAGGTTTGGCTCCTCTCTTAGGCCAATAGCATAGCATCTGTTAATATGTCTACATACTACTCAACTTATCATTTATACATACAAAAAGTTTAAACCTTGTATCGTGCACAGTATTAAATTTGATATGAACGTTTCGTATCGATATGTAAAATAATTTAAATCTAAAATATTAAAAATTTATTGATGTTTTAATAACGTTTGTGATTCACTAATCATAGTATATACATATATATTTAGCTATTCATTACATATTTAGATAGATGTATTATATATGTATTAACCAAAAGTAATTTATCATACCTTTTAAAACGCAAATACTTAGGAGTCCTATTTTCTCTTTTTTAAGTAACCACGGATATAAAATTATCATTATCCGTGAGATAATGGTCCTAAATTATTATCGAGAGACCATAAATGATGTCAAGCGTATAATTTAATACATTAAATATCATAATTAATAAATTTTGACAACAATATTTCCATAGGTAAATTATACACTACAGTACAAATTACATCTGATTATAGCAAATTAAATAAAGTACCGAAAAAGCAATTATCATAAAAATCTTTTCTGTTATATTTTGATGAAATATAATAATAAAACTTGTTTGGATCGTGACGTTAAGTTATATTTCCTTTATAATTCAATATAGGAATTAATTGCCATTATTATTTATTAAGTTACGTAATAGTCCCATCTGATTTAATAAGTAGACCTACAGGCAAGACCATTCACATGCGTTGAATATTTATTAAAATTCACACGATTTTAAAGCACGCTATTAAACTATTAAATTATTTATTTTACATAATAAGTTGGATTTTAATCATGTAAAAAGCTCAATTAAATCTGTGTACGAGATGTCTAAGTTAATTGTAACTAAAAGTTATTTATGGAAAAAGAAACTTATGTACAGTACAAATTCATATAGTCAAATATGAGAATGTATAATTGGTAGCTACTGTATATAATCACCCAACCCTCTATCCCGATAGTCATCAACTAATATCAATCAATCCAACACAGACCGATATCGCTGTTAGGAGGGTCCAACTTGTCCAAACGACTCACTAATATGACTTGTCAGCAGCGTAATTGGATTACTAATTATTTCACTATCCCTTTTTCTTCTCCTTACTCATTTATTCTAGAAAAAAAATAAACAAGTCAGCTGATTCTAAACTCAATTGTTAGAGGAAAATCTTGGTTATTTGTGTAGATAAATAGATAGAATGCTAATTAACTCTCACTGGGTGTGCCCTTCCTTTAATGGCTTCGTTCCTTTTTAATTAATTAGCTACAACAAATAACTTTACTGTAAACGATTATGTATGCATCATATTAAGTGATCAATTTGAGTCGATCCTATGTGACATTTATTATTGTGCTTTTTACTAAATTACAGCAAAAAATAAACTTAACGATGGTTTTTAAAAAATAATATTTTATTTTGTTAAATTATCAAAGAATAAATATAAATTTTCCAATTTTATTGGATAATTTAAACCCTAGAAAAATAGCTAATCTTATAATAAACAATTCACATATTAAACATTAAAATTTGATGATAGACTATACAATCAATACGAATAAGAAAATTGTAGAGGAACATTACACGATTTGGAAATGTATTTTGTCATTAATTTATGAAAAAAAAAACAGAAAAATTCGTGAATCAACATAAATATTATACATGATGTGTTCGTATAGAATAAAAAACAAATTATTATTTTATTCATAGCATATAAATAATTTTATAAATCTTTATATAATTGATCCACATTTTTATCTTATATAAATATAAAAAAAATAGTTTATATTTATACATTTTTCACAATTTTTTTAAGTTAAAATTTATAATTGCTCATGCACATTTAAAATTTTTGTGCTAATACATTAAATAATGCATCGATATATCTGTAATAAGCATTATATACTTATATAGCATTTAAATAATAGCACCCATTTTACGATTTTGGCAAATTTAGTAACATTAAATGAAAAATAATAATGACAATGATAATGCACAATAATCACCACTTTGAAAAAAATAAAAATAAAACAACAAAATATAACGTCGAACTTTAGAAGTAACAAATATATAAAGTATAAATATGTGATTTTGCTCCTTATCGGAAGGGATGCAGTAATTGCTCACGATCTTCTCCTGTCTTCCGGCATAAGCACTTGATCTATACAATGAACAATGCCATCCTTTGTCAACATATCGGATTTAATAACGTGTGCACCGTTTACCATCAAATGCCCTTTCTTTTTATGAACATTCACAGTCTGATATTCTGTGCGAACATTGTAATAAACTTTAGACGTGCTGAAAGAACCTGACGACATCATATTATCCACAACATGATTCATAATCACCTATAAAAATATTTATTGTGGGATTTATGATTATAATAAAATTCTTGTTAGTTTCGTAAAGTATCATACTACATTTTTGTATTATGCTAAACAAAGTAAAAAATAAAATATTTTTTTTAATTACGTTTTTACCTTTTTTAATTTTTTATTGCTTCCCATTATAGATTCCAATTTCCGGCTGCCCAACTCTTTAAAAGCCTCATCAGTTGGAGCAAATATTGTGAATGTTGAGTAAGGATTTCCATTCCTCTCTAGAAAGTAAGGTTCGGTTTCTCTGACTCTTCGAACAGCCTCAGAAAACATACTAATTTCAAATAACAGACGTTAGATTTCTCAAAATAAAAATAAAATATTTAAATTTCTACAATTAAAAAATAGTTACCTGAATTCTTTATTATTATCTAACATTTCAATGATATTTAACTTTGGAGGTGTAAGCACTCTATCAATGATATGCAATACGCCGTTCTGTCCTTCAATATTTGATTTTTTTACAATAGCCGTTTCAACTCCTACAGCCTGAAATACAGGGAAAAGTTATTAATATGTAAATAATTCTGTACAACGTAATTACAATATAGTATAATACGGCTTTATTAAAACTAAGTGCCTCTTTAACAAAAATTTAAAAAATTGAAATTAGAACTGCCATTATAAGATTAATCTTAGTCATTAGTTAACTTAACTGAGATATAAATTTAATTTAAAGAATATTATACGAAGAGGCGTAGGGATCAAAAGGAAAAGTTCTCTCCTTTTGATCCGTATCTTGTGCTGTTGTAATAAGTCTAATATATGGATGTTTTAATGCCGTAATATGTATAATATTACATAATAGACAACAAGCAAATTATAAAAAATAATTTAAGGAACCATTATTACTTTATTTAATAAATATTCAGAATATTCAGATGTGTAATTAGGAAAAATGTAAAGAAAATTTTTAAAATTGAAACAGAAAGTTTTTGCAAAAAAAAAAAAAACGCAATTTTAATAATATTTTACGTCTCTTCCAATACCGTTTCTTTATTATTTAAATGCTTAAATCATTTACGAGAGGATAGAAGAGGCGGCAATGGTACCAACCTGCTGCTCCGGAGGACCCGGATTGAAGTCCTGGGCCAGAGTCTTAACTACCTTCGATAATACCGAAAATTCGGTATCCAGAAGGTAATGTTGCATAAACTAATATCATACCGCATGTAAGCGCCTAAGACATCAACGTCCAGTAAATTTACGCGTGGTATGACTTTGAATATGCAACGTAAGCCTTTCGTTGCTACTGGATATAACTTCGGTATTATCGAAAGTGGGTAAGATATGAGCTTCCGGTTGGCTAAGAAATTTTCGTGACCCAAATATATCGGACTCATCACTCGGTTGTTTCCATTGTAAGTTTGCAGAATCCACAATGTCAATAGAAAAGACCCTTTTAGTACCCGTACAGCGAAAACACTCAAAGGTAATTATTAAAAAGTAAATTCGAATACTCGACTAAACTGAATAGAATTATTTAAGATAGGTTTTTCTATACGAAAACAAATTATTCATCGCAATTTATAACTTCAAACTGTTTTCACAAATAAATAAAGTGATGGAAATAATGTTTTTGCTTTATTAAAAATAACTAAAATTATTGTAAAGTGTTTAAGGGATGTTCAAAATGCGTAACATTATTTTTATTTAAAATTCTTTAATAAACATTCCTACACTTATTATTAAATATAATATGATCAGTTTATAAGTATCGTACATATAAAACTGACTTGAATTTAAATCTGTCACTCTTAAAGAATTTATGAGACGTGATAAACTAATGTATTCTATATAATCTACTTACTTTTCTGTAAACTTTAAGCCTCAATTCAGATCGGCTTTCATATGTCTCAACTATTTGATTGTCTGACATGATATCTGTCGTATATCTCCCGTGTATGATATGATGATTGAGAAGATGTCTAGACTTCTCTGTAGTCGAAGTATATTCTTCCAATTCGTGCTGAGATAACTGTTCAAATGCTTCGTCAGTCGGTGCAAAAACGGTTAATGTAACATTTGGATGATCTAGCAAATTATGCAAATTTGCAGAACGAACTAGTGAAGAGAATGCCGTTAAATTATATTCCTTCTTTTCTATTAGTTCTAAAACACTCCGAACTAATAAACAAAAAATAATGTTAAATTAATGAAGTAAATTAATTATTGATCCAATTATAAACGAACAAAAATGATCCTACCTCTATCCGGTATTAAAACGTCAGAAATTATATTGATGACACCATTAGAACTTAACATAGTTTCTGAAGTAAGTTTTGCACCGTTGACATATGTTCCTGTTTTATTGCATTCAAAAGTTATGTCTTGACCACCCAAGGTTTTCATTTTATGTTTATCGGTAAGAGCTGGCAAACAGATGACAGTAGGAACCACGTGATTTTGTAAGAGAGCTTAAAAACAGAATTTATTATTAAAAAATCGAATTAAAAGACTATATTAAATAATTATAAATATAGAAAATGTATACAAGAAAACCTTATACTTATTACTATTATATATAGCATATAATAGTAGTAACAATCATTAATTTAAATTATTGATTCCCACCTATTAAACTACAAGTAGGTCTATATTATATAAGTGAACGTATGCTTAATATTCTAGAAATGACCTGGTTAATAAATATTTCTTTATAATTATTTATAATATTTAATTATATACAACTTATTATTTTTACAGTATCTAGAATGTTTATTATAGATTTTAATAAAATTTAATTTGTATATTGCAGAACTGTTATTTAATTTCATTATTATTATTCTTGTTATAGACTTAACAAAGAGCCCATTTATTTCGTAATTGTCGTGTATCCAATATCTCTATCGGAAATCTTCAGATTCTTCAACTATTTTCAGTGTTTGCATACTTTAAAAATATTTTAAAATTAACTCTTTATTAATTTAATATGCTTTAAAATATATAATTGGCTCTACTTTAATATAGACCTACAAAATGTTTAATTCGATTTCTTCAATAAAACCAAGAATGTAAATCCATAAGGGACAGAGAGGTCCCTTATGGATTTACATTCTTGGTTTTATTGAATCATACCCTTCAATATTTTTGTACTGGCAAATTGTCTCCCCTTCCAAGATATATACGTGCTTTTATTTTATAACATATTTTTTACCCGTACTACAAAAATTAGGAGTAGAAACGAGTATACTGTACACAATCTTATATTTTACAGGTTTATCAATTTAAAGTCCGACAAGGAGAAATTTTTCTTTATTCATTGTCTTTGGCCAGATTCCTCCCCAATATACAGGATGTAACAAAACTCCGTTCCAATATTTTAGGAATAGATTCGAGGGTCAAAAATAAGCTTAAAATACTCTATAAACGTTTTCTTTTCAAATTCACTTCGTTTTCGAGGTCTGACCTGACGAGAATTCAGTTGTGTATCGGAGTCCGCGGAGGGCATTTTCAGTAGTTTCAGTAAATTATTCTGTTCAATTTTCTAAATAAACGTTATTCAAAGTAAATTTACATTGAAAAATTCTTGCTTTTTAACTAATTTTTTTAATTTTAAAGTGAATAAATACTGAAAAATGTATAGATAAAGGCATTGTTTTATATTTATTACAGTAGGGCCTTTTTGGGCAACATTTGCTTACCTCAATTCGATGACAGAGGTATAAAAAAAATTACAAAATTATTTTAAAAAGTTTGTACTTTAGCGGGGAATGTCAATTTTTGGCAGGCCAAATCTCGAAAATAAAGCAAATTTTGAAAAATGTTTATAGAGGATTTTATGTTTATTTTGACCCTGGAATCCACCCTAAAATATTGGCACGGAGTTTCGTTACACCTTGTATATATAGATCGATGTCGACAAATATATCAACGTAATAAATTAAAACAGTGAAATTGTAGGTATTTCATGTGTTTAAATCGATATAAAAAATAATTCTACTAATTTAAAAATAAAGTAGAAAATTCAATAAAAACTAAAGTTGCAGAATGTAGAAATAGTTTAAGAAAAAAAATTTTTCTTATATTTCCATCATTTACGTAACTTTTTTGTAACAAATATCAAATTCATTTGTTAACAATAGAAATAAGTAATATCTGAATCTAGTATTCCATTTCTTTATTCTTTATCACGGCCCTCGGCCTAAGTAAGAAATTTTTCTAACATTGAAAAATTCAGATTCAAACCCGATCCAAACTTTCGTATTATTAGTAATAATTCGATCGGAAATCCTTTCCTTTATCTATGATGGTTCTTAATCGGTCATGTGGCTCAACATACAATAATGTTTGAATAAAAAAAATTCCATATCTTTCTATTTCAATGACCCAACATTTCAAAAAGAATTTTTAAAACCAATATTTAAATACTTTATTATATTATGTATTATAAAAATCGCGCTTTTGATTACCACACTCATTGGNAGATATCGACTTATAAAATATATTTTTTTCATGCGGTCTAGATAAATTTACGGAGATAAAAATTTAGGAAAAGGAAAATGCTAGATTTATATATGCTGACCTCTTTTTTAAGATCCTCTAAAGAGAGGCCTTATACATATAGGTTACTGCCGAAATTTTTAAAATATAGAATGAGAGAAGTATAATATACACTTGGGTTCTAATTACCAAGTTTTTAAATATGTTTCGATGGAAAAATACTTAATTCTAACGTGTAAAACTTGCATTAAACTGTTAAAACTAATGACAAAGCTCTATTATTTATTAAATTATAATTTATATAATATCAAAATTAACGTATAGCGACATAATTATTAACTAGTTGACTTTCAAAAATTATCTAATAAATTCTGTTCCTAATTAGTTCCTATAGTTATTTAATCAATAGATTCATTATAAAAATATGGGCTTCATACATGAAGATTTTTTTGTGTCGCTAATTTCTTCTAAAAAGTGTGTACAAACAACACAAAACTTTATTAATGATCTACACCTCAAATGTTAATAAGTTCATCAGACTAAAACAACCAGCAATTAAAATTTAGACCGTTCTAAATGTTTGAGTGAGAACAAGTAACCTGCGAATATCGATGACGTTTATCATTAAGACACGTTGTTTTTGACGTAATTATTTCAACTTACGTAGATTATACATAGAAGGCAATGCCGTTTAAGTCACGCCGACCAATGGGGAGATAAATAGATAAATTCAGCTTGAGTAATTATCTCAAGCGGTTTGTTTAATTATAGCCTTGTAACTACTCCCAGCTCACTACCTAATTACAGGTTTGGCTCCTCTCTTAGGCCAATAGCATAGCATCTGTTAATATGTCTACATACTACTCAACTTATCATTTATACATACAAAAAGTTTAAACCTTGTATCGTGCACAGTATTAAATTTGATATGAACGTTTCGTATCGATATGTAAAATAATTTAAATCTAAAATATTAAAAATTTATTGATGTTTTAATAACGTTTGTGATTCACTAATCATAGTATATACATATATATTTAGCTATTCATTACATATTTAGATAGATGTATTATATATGTATTAACCAAAAGTAATTTATCATACCTTTTAAAACGCAAATACTTAGGAGTCCTATTTTCTCTTTTTTAAGTAACCACGGATATAAAATTATCATTATCCGTGAGATAATGGTCCTAAATTATTATCGAGAGACCATAAATGATGTCAAGCGTATAATTTAATACATTAAATATCATAATTAATAAATTTTGACAACAATATTTCCATAGGTAAATTATACACTACAGTACAAATTACATCTGATTATAGCAAATTAAATAAAGTACCGAAAAAGCAATTATCATAAAAATCTTTTCTGTTATATTTTGATGAAATATAATAATAAAACTTGTTTGGATCGTGACGTTAAGTTATATTTCCTTTATAATTCAATATAGGAATTAATTGCCATTATTATTTATTAAGTTACGTAATAGTCCCATCTGATTTAATAAGTAGACCTACAGGCAAGACCATTCACATGCGTTGAATATTTATTAAAATTCACACGATTTTAAAGCACGCTATTAAACTATTAAATTATTTATTTTACATAATAAGTTGGATTTTAATCATGTAAAAAGCTCAATTAAATCTGTGTACGAGATGTCTAAGTTAATTGTAACTAAAAGTTATTTATGGAAAAAGAAACTTATGTACAGTACAAATTCATATAGTCAAATATGAGAATGTATAATTGGTAGCTACTGTATATAATCACCCAACCCTCTATCCCGATAGTCATCAACTAATATCAATCAATCCAACACAGACCGATATCGCTGTTAGGAGGGTCCAACTTGTCCAAACGACTCACTAATATGACTTGTCAGCAGCGTAATTGGATTACTAATTATTTCACTATCCCTTTTTCTTCTCCTTACTCATTTATTCTAGAAAAAAAATAAACAAGTCAGCTGATTCTAAACTCAATTGTTAGAGGAAAATCTTGGTTATTTGTGTAGATAAATAGATAGAATGCTAATTAACTCTCACTGGGTGTGCCCTTCCTTTAATGGCTTCGTTCCTTTTTAATTAATTAGCTACAACAAATAACTTTACTGTAAACGATTATGTATGCATCATATTAAGTGATCAATTTGAGTCGATCCTATGTGACATTTATTATTGTGCTTTTTACTAAATTACAGCAAAAAATAAACTTAACGATGGTTTTTAAAAAATAATATTTTATTTTGTTAAATTATCAAAGAATAAATATAAATTTTCCAATTTTATTGGATAATTTAAACCCTAGAAAAATAGCTAATCTTATAATAAACAATTCACATATTAAACATTAAAATTTGATGATAGACTATACAATCAATACGAATAAGAAAATTGTAGAGGAACATTACACGATTTGGAAATGTATTTTGTCATTAATTTATGAAAAAAAAAACAGAAAAATTCGTGAATCAACATAAATATTATACATGATGTGTTCGTATAGAATAAAAAACAAATTATTATTTTATTCATAGCATATAAATAATTTTATAAATCTTTATATAATTGATCCACATTTTTATCTTATATAAATATAAAAAAAATAGTTTATATTTATACATTTTTCACAATTTTTTTAAGTTAAAATTTATAATTGCTCATGCACATTTAAAATTTTTGTGCTAATACATTAAATAATGCATCGATATATCTGTAATAAGCATTATATACTTATATAGCATTTAAATAATAGCACCCATTTTACGATTTTGGCAAATTTAGTAACATTAAATGAAAAATAATAATGACAATGATAATGCACAATAATCACCACTTTGAAAAAAATAAAAATAAAACAACAAAATATAACGTCGAACTTTAGAAGTAACAAATATATAAAGTATAAATATGTGATTTTGCTCCTTATCGGAAGGGATGCAGTAATTGCTCACGATCTTCTCCTGTCTTCCGGCATAAGCACTTGATCTATACAATGAACAATGCCATCCTTTGTCAACATATCGGATTTAATAACGTGTGCACCGTTTACCATCAAATGCCCTTTCTTTTTATGAACATTCACAGTCTGATATTCTGTGCGAACATTGTAATAAACTTTAGACGTGCTGAAAGAACCTGACGACATCATATTATCCACAACATGATTCATAATCACCTATAAAAATATTTATTGTGGGATTTATGATTATAATAAAATTCTTGTTAGTTTCGTAAAGTATCATACTACATTTTTGTATTATGCTAAACAAAGTAAAAAATAAAATATTTTTTTTAATTACGTTTTTACCTTTTTTAATTTTTTATTGCTTCCCATTATAGATTCCAATTTCCGGCTGCCCAACTCTTTAAAAGCCTCATCAGTTGGAGCAAATATTGTGAATGTTGAGTAAGGATTTCCATTCCTCTCTAGAAAGTAAGGTTCGGTTTCTCTGACTCTTCGAACAGCCTCAGAAAACATACTAATTTCAAATAACAGACGTTAGATTTCTCAAAATAAAAATAAAATATTTAAATTTCTACAATTAAAAAATAGTTACCTGAATTCTTTATTATTATCTAACATTTCAATGATATTTAACTTTGGAGGTGTAAGCACTCTATCAATGATATGCAATACGCCGTTCTGTCCTTCAATATTTGATTTTTTTACAATAGCCGTTTCAACTCCTACAGCCTGAAATACAGGGAAAAGTTATTAATATGTAAATAATTCTGTACAACGTAATTACAATATAGTATAATACGGTTTTATTAAAACTAAGTGCCTCTTTAACAAAAATTTAAAAAATTGAAATTAGAACTGCCATTATAAGATTAATCTTAGTCATTAGTTAACTTAACTGAGATATAAATTTAATTTAAAGAATATTATACGAAGAGGCGTAGGGATCAAAAGGAAAAGTTCTCTCCTTTTGATCCGTATCTTGTGCTGTTGTAATAAGTCTAATATATGGATGTTTTAATGCCGTAATATGTATAATATTACATAATAGACAACAAGCAAATTATAAAAAATAATTTAAGGAACCATTATTACTTTATTTAATAAATATTCAGAATATTCAGATGTGTAATTAGGAAAAATGTAAAGAAAATTTTTAAAATTGAAACAGAAAGTTTTTGCAAAAAAAAAAAAAACGCAATTTTAATAATATTTTACGTCTCTTCCAATACCGTTTCTTTATTATTTAAATGCTTAAATCATTTACGAGAGGATAGAAGAGGCGGCAATGGTACCAACCTGCTGCTCCGGAGGACCCGGATTGAAGTCCTGGGCCAGAGTCTTAACTACCTTCGATAATACCGAAAATTCGGTATCCAGAAGGTAATGTTGCATAAACTAATATCATACCGCATGTAAGCGCCTAAGACATCAACGTCCAGTAAATTTACGCGTGGTATGACTTTGAATATGCAACGTAAGCCTTTCGTTGCTACTGGATATAACTTCGGTATTATCGAAAGTGGGTAAGATATGAGCTTCCGGTTGGCTAAGAAATTTTCGTGACCCAAATATATCGGACTCATCACTCGGTTGTTTCCATTGTAAGTTTGCAGAATCCACAATGTCAATAGAAAAGACCCTTTTAGTACCCGTACAGCGAAAACACTCAAAGGTAATTATTAAAAAGTAAATTCGAATACTCGACTAAACTGAATAGAATTATTTAAGATAGGTTTTTCTATACGAAAACAAATTATTCATCGCAATTTATAACTTCAAACTGTTTTCACAAATAAATAAAGTGATGGAAATAATGTTTTTGCTTTATTAAAAATAACTAAAATTATTGTAAAGTGTTTAAGGGATGTTCAAAATGCGTAACATTATTTTTATTTAAAATTCTTTAATAAACATTCCTACACTTATTATTAAATATAATATGATCAGTTTATAAGTATCGTACATATAAAACTGACTTGAATTTAAATCTGTCACTCTTAAAGAATTTATGAGACGTGATAAACTAATGTATTCTATATAATCTACTTACTTTTCTGTAAACTTTAAGCCTCAATTCAGATCGGCTTTCATATGTCTCAACTATTTGATTGTCTGACATGATATCTGTCGTATATCTCCCGTGTATGATATGATGATTGAGAAGATGTCTAGACTTCTCTGTAGTCGAAGTATATTCTTCCAATTCGTGCTGAGATAACTGTTCAAATGCTTCGTCAGTCGGTGCAAAAACGGTTAATGTAACATTTGGATGATCTAGCAAATTATGCAAATTTGCAGAACGAACTAGTGAAGAGAATGCCGTTAAATTATATTCCTTCTTTTCTATTAGTTCTAAAACACTCCGAACTAATAAACAAAAAATAATGTTAAATTAATGAAGTAAATTAATTATTGATCCAATTATAAACGAACAAAAATGATCCTACCTCTATCCGGTATTAAAACGTCAGAAATTATATTGATGACACCATTAGAACTTAACATAGTTTCTGAAGTAAGTTTTGCACCGTTGACATATGTTCCTGTTTTATTGCATTCAAAAGTTATGTCTTGACCACCCAAGGTTTTCATTTTATGTTTATCGGTAAGAGCTGGCAAACAGATGACAGTAGGAACCACGTGATTTTGTAAGAGAGCTTAAAAACAGAATTTATTATTAAAAAATCGAATTAAAAGACTATATTAAATAATTATAAATATAGAAAATGTATACAAGAAAACCTTATACTTATTACTATTATATATAGCATATAATAGTAGTAACAATCATTAATTTAAATTATTGATTCCCACCTATTAAACTACAAGTAGGTCTATATTATATAAGTGAACGTATGCTTAATATTCTAGAAATGACCTGGTTAATAAATATTTCTTTATAATTATTTATAATATTTAATTATATACAACTTATTATTTTTACAGTATCTAGAATGTTTATTATAGATTTTAATAAAATTTAATTTGTATATTGCAGAACTGTTATTTAATTTCATTATTATTATTCTTGTTATAGACTTAACAAAGAGCCCATTTATTTCGTAATTGTCGTGTATCCAATATCTCTATCGGAAATCTTCAGATTCTTCAACTATTTTCAGTGTTTGCATACTTTAAAAATATTTTAAAATTAACTCTTTATTAATTTAATATGCTTTAAAATATATAATTGGCTCTACTTTAATATAGACCTACAAAATGTTTAATTCGATTTCTTCAATAAAACCAAGAATGTAAATCCATAAGGGACAGAGAGGTCCCTTATGGATTTACATTCTTGGTTTTATTGAATCATACCCTTCAATATTTTTGTACTGGCAAATTGTCTCCCCTTCCAAGATATATACGTGCTTTTATTTTATAACATATTTTTTACCCGTACTACAAAAATTAGGAGTAGAAACGAGTATACTGTACACAATCTTATATTTTACAGGTTTATCAATTTAAAGTCCGACAAGGAGAAATTTTTCTTTATTCATTGTCTTTGGCCAGATTCCTCCCCAATATACAGGATGTAACAAAACTCCGTTCCAATATTTTAGGAATAGATTCGAGGGTCAAAAATAAGCTTAAAATACTCTATAAACGTTTTCTTTTCAAATTCACTTCGTTTTCGAGGTCTGACCTGACGAGAATTCAGTTGTGTATCGGAGTCCGCGGAGGGCATTTTCAGTAGTTTCAGTAAATTATTCTGTTCAATTTTCTAAATAAACGTTATTCAAAGTAAATTTACATTGAAAAATTCTTGCTTTTTAACTAATTTTTTTAATTTTAAAGTGAATAAATACTGAAAAATGTATAGATAAAGGCATTGTTTTATATTTATTACAGTAGGGCCTTTTTGGGCAACATTTGCTTACCTCAATTCGATGACAGAGGTATAAAAAAAATTACAAAATTATTTTAAAAAGTTTGTACTTTAGCGGGGAATGTCAATTTTTGGCAGGCCAAATCTCGAAAATAAAGCAAATTTTGAAAAATGTTTATAGAGGATTTTATGTTTATTTTGACCCTGGAATCCACCCTAAAATATTGGCACGGAGTTTCGTTACACCTTGTATATATAGATCGATGTCGACAAATATATCAACGTAATAAATTAAAACAGTGAAATTGTAGGTATTTCATGTGTTTAAATCGATATAAAAAATAATTCTACTAATTTAAAAATAAAGTAGAAAATTCAATAAAAACTAAAGTTGCAGAATGTAGAAATAGTTTAAGAAAAAAAATTTTTCTTATATTTCCATCATTTACGTAACTTTTTTGTAACAAATATCAAATTCATTTGTTAACAATAGAAATAAGTAATATCTGAATCTAGTATTCCATTTCTTTATTCTTTATCACGGCCCTCGGCCTAAGTAAGAAATTTTTCTAACATTGAAAAATTCAGATTCAAACCCGATCCAAACTTTCGTATTATTAGTAATAATTCGATCGGAAATCCTTTCCTTTATCTATGATGGTTCTTAATCGGTCATGTGGCTCAACATACAATAATGTTTGAATAAAAAAAATTCCATATCTTTCTATTTCAATGACCCAACATTTCAAAAAGAATTTTTAAAACCAATATTTAAATACTTTATTATATTATGTATTATAAAAATCGCGCTTTTGATTACCACACTCATTGGGAAAATATTATTATAAGAAAAATAAATAACTTAATAATCATTTCCTAAATTATATGCTTATAGATGGAAATTAATTAATATTTAAATATCTTGTTATTTTCCAGACTTAAGTTATATTAATTACATTAATCTTTGAAAAGACACACGCTAGCCTATAATTTATTTTATTTTTTCTTCCGAACACCACTTCTATTTTAAGAAATTATTTCGAAGAGTTTTGTATAGTTCAAATGTTCGTGGTTTCATCTGTCATTTGCTGAAACATTCAATACAACGCAGTAATAATTCTAATTCTAATTCTAATAATAATAATAATTTCATTTTTTAGTGAGTTAAAAAAATAAAAATAAAAATACAATCATGTTTTCTTCTTCACCCTTAAAATAACTTATACTGTAACATTTAAGTTATACTATAACACTTATGAAATTCTGTAAAAATACTGTACCTAATTATATTAAAATTCTTTTCACTAAAGTCATTTATTTATTTATTATTAACAAGTTTTTCTCTCATTGGACTACAATTTGAAAAAAATTATAGACGTATAAATTCCCACTGTCGTCCGTCCGGCTGTCTGTCTATCCTTCCATAATTTAGTGAACGGATTTAGATAGATGAAACAAGAGACAAGATATAAAAAGCCTAAGGGCAGGAGGCCCCGATTAACTATATGCTAACTTCCGATACAAACCGAAAGTCACGTTATTTTAATTTAAAAATTTCTCCTGAAAGAAGTTAGATAGATGACCGGCACGACTCGATTGCTAAAGAAAGAGTATGATGAAAGAGGGGCAAGTCACTACTAATTTGAAGTGGAGAGCACATATTTTAAATTAAATAAATTTTAAAATATGATTAAAAAAATGCAGCCCGGCATTGTAACGATGTCACAATAAATATTTGCTCGTTGTTATTATTATTACTTTTATTGATAAAATTTTACTATAATAATGAATAAATCTATAAAAAAAATTGTAGTTTCTTCAGTCAGTCAGTTGTTAAATTACTGAGTTATTCAATTTAAAAACAATAATAAAAATCGAATGTATATTCCAGGCTGCAATTTTTATCATCTTTTTTTGTAAAAAACACGTAATATTGTATATTTGTATATTGTTAATCGGACCTCCGACCCCTAAGCTTTCCATAAGCTTCACCTATCTGACTCTGTTCTGGAGATTAAAAAAAAAACATAACGGACGACAGTGAAAATGTATAGGTCCGAAATTGCAACACAATAATAATAATTTATTAACCAAATAAAATTTAGCACATTAAAAGCTATTGACAATTTTAATAATGTTTTCTTAGTCATGAATAATTATTAGTTATTTGGAATAATGAAATAATAGTCTATACTATAATATTTATTTATTTTAATCTATTAAATAGATAATAAAATCTATCTCTACATTTCTGTTATTATTATTGTTTTATACGTAAATTTCTATCCGAAAGTAATAAAATTTAGATGATTATGGTACAAGTTGCAATTATACAGCAGTATTACACATTAAATGTGGATATTTTAAAATTTTAGTTTTCAAATTTGAATACATTATACTTTTCAATGATAATAGCAATGATTCATAAAATTCAGAAAATTTTTTAAGAAATGTCTTTAAAAGTTTTCTAAAAAAAGAAGTAATAATCGAAATAAGAGATACGTTGATTGATTAACCCGAGATATCAGATTACTGTTAGCTATATAGTCCGCCACAGTTACACCCATTACGAGCAGTCGATCAACATGCATGAGGGAGAATAATGCCCGATCACATGATACTCATGATATCGGGCATCATTCTCATGAATCGGGATCCTGTATGGCAGCAGACTAACACCTTCTGTGTACCCATATAGTCAACAAAATAAGATATAGAGTATTATAAATCATATTACGATACTTTTTGTTTTTTTTTTCTAATGTGAATACATGTTTATAAATATGAATACAAAAGAAATATATGCTAACACTATTTCTGCTGCTGCGACCCTTCAACTTCTTTTTCATTTCAGGCAACGGATAAAAGGTTGTAAGAGTAAGATAAGGGAAGTAAGGTCTGAAGCACTCACGTAGTCAGGTATTTGTTGACTACTTAAGATCGATTCTCAGAAACGTTGTCATTGTAAAGAGTCAATTCCATTCCTTTCGTAAATCGGGATGCTTTCTTCGTAGAGATTCAGGCAGATGTCAGACTTATTAGCAGCAGATATGAAAGCAATAGAGATGAAATCCCATAAAATTATTACAAAAAAAAGAAAAAGAATAGCTTCTAACTTGTAAGACTATTTTTGCCTGTGTCCATATCACTGCTTTGACAAAGTAGTTACAAAAACTTTCTTTGAAGATGTAGTGTAAGAGTTTTATAACAAAATCTATGTCAAAAGGTCAGTTCAATTTTGATTCTATCTCGTTTGTGAACGACATCAATGTTAGTTGTATGTAAAGTTTAGATATTCACTTACAATTCTTAAACAACGCATAAATCTAGTCCCGACATCTAAATGCTTCTGCTAGAAAAAGACAATCGTCAGGAAGCTATGTACTATATACAGAGAACACAGCTATAAGACAATTCGAAATTTTCCAAATTGTTTTTACAGTGTACTTTTACAGTTTATAGTATATCTTCATTCCCGAAGTCAAACAACGTACTGTACATAATCATAGATTAAAATTTTATACATGTAATCACAATACTTTCTCGTATTATTTATTTATTTATTCTGTTGGAAGCGATCTTTTAAACCAAATAGCATAAGCGAGTATTAGAATTATGTATAATATATTAAAGCTACATTAACTTTATTGCCTATTTGACATGAAATATTTGAGAGGAAGCAGACTTCTTACAGAAAATTGGAATAGTTCAATCGAAAGGACATCAATTATGTTATCAGAAAAACTCCAAATTTCAAAAAGTAAATTAATATACGCTAAAAATCTATAAAGATTAATTTTTAATGTCCGTAGAGGAAAATTTCTTAAAACAGTTGATTTTAAGCGCCATCTCCTAGTTATTTTCGAGGAAGTTTGTTATTGTTTTGTTTCGCATTATTTCAAAAATCAGTGTTTATTCTTTTTAAAATCAATTCTTTTTTATTTACATTTTAATATATACATTAACTAAGTAAATAATGTATAAAAGTAATAGTATTAAGTTCCGAAAACGCGGAGAACATCACGAAACTCTGGAGTTGGACCGCCGAAGGCAATCAAGGGTGGAGTCCCTAGTAGGTTTTATATAAGCAGTTTTCAGTTCGATTTCTAAGCAAACTATTCATTATTGTAAAAAGATCAATAGCAGCAGCAATCATTAGAGTCAAACATATTGCGAACATTAGTTTCGCTGTCAGCGAATTAACCGAAGATATTTGCTGTTATCTTACCAAGATCTATCGTGAATCAATTGCTAATTTGTTTTAGTGATTACTACTTTTTCAGTTGTTTCATTAATATGAAATTTGATCTTTTATTTATATTTCGAGAAACATTTCCTTACAGCATAATATATTATTTTCTAGAAATTGTAAAAACTGAAACTTATATAACTTTCATTCATGTTTAAAATTTTTAAAGTAAAATAATAATAATACTATTGATTAACCAATAAAAAAATTAGTGTAGCGGTTTCAGGAAAATTATTTGCGAATTCTCGAATACTACAAAGTACAGATGGCAGATACCACCCGCGAATACTCGAATATAAAGTTGAAAAAATAAATTTAAATACTACGAATATCTCCAATATCACGCCTTATGTACTGTACAGCACAATACTGTACAGATAGTACTTCTGGTTTAATTTTCGACAAGAAAAGAAGTAGACTACATCGTAAAAAAGTTCGAATGCTTCTTTTCGTAAATGAAAGTCTGCAGTACTTTGAAATGAGTACAATTACTGATTAATCTATTGTAGTTAAGGTTATACAGTAGTACTTAAAACGTAGGCACTGTAAAAAGTCAAAGTCAAAACAAAAAGTTTGAAGTTTCATTAGTAAACTGTTTTTCTTTTCACCTTTTGTTCTACTTTATTAATGAACCAAGAAACAGCATCCTTTATACTAATCCATCATTTAATTTGTCAGAAAACAAATATTTTCGATTATTTTAAATTGCCATCTTCAATTTCTAAAATCCGTTAGCGTTGTAGTTCTAGAACGATCGATCGATTCGAAATTAAAAATTGTAGTTAGCCTTCCAATGCGTCATGGTTCGTAATGATGTTTCTCAAAGCCATTAAACTGAGGCTTTATTAGGTTGGCCAATTGTTTACATAGAAACCGCCACGCCTTAGATAAGTTTTCTGAGTCTTTATGATTTATACAGTTCTCTACGATGCTTCTATTATGTATTTTGATAATTTCCGAGTATTTAATTAGTGCTGGATTTCGAACCCTCTTTATTACGACGGCGTTATACCATCAAACTGTGTTTCCTTGTAGCGAGTTTATCAATTAATTATTAATGTTTATTCATTTATAAATATATAGAAATAAATAAAACAAGTTAAACAATAAATATTTAATCAAACTATCAACTGAATAAGTTAAGTAATAATATTTCGATAAGTAATAACATATAAGTAATAATATTTCGTTGACAGTTTGATTTAAGTTCACTAAGTATTCGAGGCATTCGAATATTCGAATTCGAGAAAAGCAATATTCACCCATCTTTAACTTTAATAAATATGTAAATGAAAGAAGGAAATTGAAATTACTTGATCCTACCTTATACATAAATTTATTCGAAGAAAATGCCTTTAATATTTTTGAAAACTAAAAATTTCAAAGTGAAAATGAAAATTCGCCTGAAAACTTTTAAGTTTCAAAAATATTATTCATTGTATCGTTTCTGTTAATTAATAATGCCTTAAAGATTCAATTTCGAACTTCTGTGAATAAATAAATAACACTTTCACTTATTTCTTATTGCTGAAATAAATATTTTTTAATGTTTTTCCTTCAAGAAGAATTTTACTATTCTACTTCTGTCGCCATTTTACTAAAGATCCTTCAGAATATTTTGTTTCTATTTGACATTGCAAATGCCTTTATATTATTGTTTCATATTTTATATAATTTTTATCACTTAAATTATTGCAATTTTTTAATTAATTCTAATCTTAGCAGAATACCTTATACTGTATAAACTTGTTCTGCATATTTATAAAACAAGTCAATATGATTTTATAACACTTTTCTAATTTTTATTCTAGTTACAAGTCATATTCATCAGATTAAATAGTTCTGTAAAAAGTATTATGAATGAGCAGTTACCTGTTCTTAATGCGTTTTTATATGAATTATTATGAATACATGATTGAAGTTGTTAGTAATAAATTATCAATTTATCAAAGACACGAATAATAATACATAAAGCATTTTATAATGGATACACAAAACAAAAAAAGACGATTCCTTGAGTAGAAATAAGATGAAAGTTTATTTAAGTTAAAAAAACTAACAGTAATATATTGCTTCTTACACTTCTTAAATTTCCCGACTGTATTTCCGGAATATGTGATTGACAGATCAATAGCCAATATATAAAAGATTGATAATGATGGATGCGGCAAAATATCAAAATCATTGTGAGAACGAATAAATCATATTCTAGACAAAATAATATTTTTAATAAGTGGGAAACAAATAAAGGTGAAGAGTGACAAAAGTTTGCTTGAGCTAGTACAACTGTTAATGGATTTTAACTATACGTGATGTCAGAAGTCATAAAAGATGTTCAAAAAATAAGAAGCCATATTGCCGGATATGGAAATCTGCTCGACAGAGCACAGATGTTCTAACAGATGTTGAACGGATGCTTTTGACGCATGCACATATGCGTCAAAAGCATCGGAGCAATGTCATTTCATTCAAACATTCGGATGCATACATCTTCAGTTTGACATAAGCCTACAAAAAGAAATCTAAGAAAAGTTAATCAAATGACTAACCATGATTTATCCAGTGAGTTTCTTATGTGTAGTCCAAGCAAGCCTAACAGCAAATTAATCTGCCAAGTTAAAAGATGTGTGATCATGTAGATGTCGTAACTTCTAACAAATTGATAAAATTTGGTAGCAATTAGCAAGCATGATAGATCGTTCTCCAAGAGATCCAAACAGTCACCATAGAAAAATAGTGAAGCAAAATATAATATTGTGGACACTCCTTGCTACGTGTTACTTATGCTACAGGTTACTTAAGCTTTACTTTCTAACAATAGAATGGAGTTTATATGCAGTCATATGAGTTAGTGCACTGATTTAAAAATTTAAAGAACACATACTCACGATATATAAAACGACCCCTTTAAGATAATATTTGCAGATAATGAGACCAATTTAGCAACCAGTTGTGTAAAAGCCATTTTCTCAATTCGCTGATTTATGATATGACTCAAACTATTCGCGACATGTACTGTACAGTACGTGCTGCTGTATTATTTTCAATATTCATTTCATATTTCATTATTCGACATTATATTCTGATACGCCCAGTTTTCTACATTTGCGTTCAGAATTGCATGAAACCCGTTATTTTATTAAAATAAATCTATATATATATATATAAATGGACATGTATGTCCCTATATTTCACTTTTCCGCCAAAACTANTTTAATAATATTTTACGTCTCTTCCAATACCGTTTCTTTATTATTTAAATGCTTAAATCATTTACGAGAGGATAGAAGAGGCGGCAATGGTACCAACCTGCTGCTCCGGAGGACCCGGATTGAAGTCCTGGGCCAGAGTCTTAACTACCTTCGATAATACCGAAAATTCGGTATCCAGAAGGTAATGTTGCATAAACTAATATCATACCGCATGTAAGCGCCTAAGACATCAACGTCCAGTAAATTTACGCGTGGTATGACTTTGAATATGCAACGTAAGCCTTTCGTTGCTACTGGATATAACTTCGGTATTATCGAAAGTGGGTAAGATATGAGCTTCCGGTTGGCTAAGAAATTTTCGTGACCCAAATATATCGGACTCATCACTCGGTTGTTTCCATTGTAAGTTTGCAGAATCCACAATGTCAATAGAAAAGACCCTTTTAGTACCCGTACAGCGAAAACACTCAAAGGTAATTATTAAAAAGTAAATTCGAATACTCGACTAAACTGAATAGAATTATTTAAGATAGGTTTTTCTATACGAAAACAAATTATTCATCGCAATTTATAACTTCAAACTGTTTTCACAAATAAATAAAGTGATGGAAATAATGTTTTTGCTTTATTAAAAATAACTAAAATTATTGTAAAGTGTTTAAGGGATGTTCAAAATGCGTAACATTATTTTTATTTAAAATTCTTTAATAAACATTCCTACACTTATTATTAAATATAATATGATCAGTTTATAAGTATCGTACATATAAAACTGACTTGAATTTAAATCTGTCACTCTTAAAGAATTTATGAGACGTGATAAACTAATGTATTCTATATAATCTACTTACTTTTCTGTAAACTTTAAGCCTCAATTCAGATCGGCTTTCATATGTCTCAACTATTTGATTGTCTGACATGATATCTGTCGTATATCTCCCGTGTATGATATGATGATTGAGAAGATGTCTAGACTTCTCTGTAGTCGAAGTATATTCTTCCAATTCGTGCTGAGATAACTGTTCAAATGCTTCGTCAGTCGGTGCAAAAACGGTTAATGTAACATTTGGATGATCTAGCAAATTATGCAAATTTGCAGAACGAACTAGTGAAGAGAATGCCGTTAAATTATATTCCTTCTTTTCTATTAGTTCTAAAACACTCCGAACTAATAAACAAAAAATAATGTTAAATTAATGAAGTAAATTAATTATTGATCCAATTATAAACGAACAAAAATGATCCTACCTCTATCCGGTATTAAAACGTCAGAAATTATATTGATGACACCATTAGAACTTAACATAGTTTCTGAAGTAAGTTTTGCACCGTTGACATATGTTCCTGTTTTATTGCATTCAAAAGTTATGTCTTGACCACCCAAGGTTTTCATTTTATGTTTATCGGTAAGAGCTGGCAAACAGATGACAGTAGGAACCACGTGATTTTGTAAGAGAGCTTAAAAACAGAATTTATTATTAAAAAATCGAATTAAAAGACTATATTAAATAATTATAAATATAGAAAATGTATACAAGAAAACCTTATACTTATTACTATTATATATAGCATATAATAGTAGTAACAATCATTAATTTAAATTATTGATTCCCACCTATTAAACTACAAGTAGGTCTATATTATATAAGTGAACGTATGCTTAATATTCTAGAAATGACCTGGTTAATAAATATTTCTTTATAATTATTTATAATATTTAATTATATACAACTTATTATTTTTACAGTATCTAGAATGTTTATTATAGATTTTAATAAAATTTAATTTGTATATTGCAGAACTGTTATTTAATTTCATTATTATTATTCTTGTTATAGACTTAACAAAGAGCCCATTTATTTCGTAATTGTCATGTATCCAATATCTCTATCGGAAATCTTCAGATTCTTCAACTATTTTCAGTGTTTGCATACTTTAAAAATATTTTAAAATTAACTCTTTATTAATTTAATATGCTTTAAAATATATAATTGGCTCTACTTTAATATAGACCTACAAAATGTTTAATTCGATTTCTTCAATAAAACCAAGAATGTAAATCCATAAGGGACAGAGAGGTCCCTTATGGATTTACATTCTTGGTTTTATTGAATCATACCCTTCAATATTTTTGTACTGGCAAATTGTCTCCCCTTCCAAGATATATACGTGCTTTTATTTTATAACATATTTTTTACCCGTACTACAAAAATTAGGAGTAGAAACGAGTATACTGTACACAATCTTATATTTTACAGGTTTATCAATTTAAAGTCCGACAAGGAGAAATTTTTCTTTATTCATTGTCTTTGGCCAGATTCCTCCCCAATATACAGGATGTAACAAAACTCCGTTCCAATATTTTAGGAATAGATTCGAGGGTCAAAAATAAGCTTAAAATACTCTATAAACGTTTTCTTTTCAAATTCACTTCGTTTTCGAGGTCTGACCTGACGAGAATTCAGTTGTGTATCGGAGTCCGCGGAGGGCATTTTGAGTAGTTTCAGTAAATTATTCTGTTCAATTTTCTAAATAAACGTTATTCAAAGTAAATTTACATTGAAAAATTCTTGCTTTTTAACTAATTTTTTTAATTTTAAAGTGAATAAATACTGAAAAATGTATAGATAAAGGCATTGTTTTATATTTATTACAGTAGGGCCTTTTTGGGCAACATTTGCTTACCTCAATTCGATGACAGAGGTATAAAAAAAATTACAAAATTATTTTAAAAAGTTTGTACTTTAGCGGGGAATGTCAATTTTTGGCAGGCCAAATCTCGAAAATAAAGCAAATTTTGAAAAATGTTTATAGAGGATTTTATGTTTATTTTGACCCTGGAATCCACCCTAAAATATTGGCACGGAGTTTCGTTACACCTTGTATATATAGATCGATGTCGACAAATATATCAACGTAATAAATTAAAACAGTGAAATTGTAGGTATTTCATGTGTTTAAATCGATATAAAAAATAATTCTACTAATTTAAAAATAAAGTAGAAAATTCAATAAAAACTAAAGTTGCAGAATGTAGAAATAGTTTAAGAAAAAAAATTTTTCTTATATTTCCATCATTTACGTAACTTTTTTGTAACAAATATCAAATTCATTTGTTAACAATAGAAATAAGTAATATCTGAATCTAGTATTCCATTTCTTTATTCTTTATCACGGCCCTCGGCCTAAGTAAGAAATTTTTCTAACATTGAAAAATTCAGATTCAAACCCGATCCAAACTTTCGTATTATTAGTAATAATTCGATCGGAAATCCTTTCCTTTATCTATGATGGTTCTTAATCGGTCATGTGGCTCAACATACAATAATGTTTGAATAAAAAAAATTCCATATCTTTCTATTTCAATGACCCAACATTTCAAAAAGAATTTTTAAAACCAATATTTAAATACTTTATTATATTATGTATTATAAAAATCGCGCTTTTGATTACCACACTCATTGGGAAAATATTATTATAAGAAAAATAAATAACTTAATAATCATTTCCTAAATTATATGCTTATAGATGGAAATTAATTAATATTTAAATATCTTGTTATTTTCCAGACTTAAGTTATATTAATTACATTAATCTTTGAAAAGACACAAGCTAGCCTATAATTTATTTTATTTTTTCTTCCGAACACCACTTCTATTTTAAGAAATTATTTCGAAGAGTTTTGTATAGTTTTCAAATGTTCGTGGTTTCATCTGTCATTTGCTGAAACATTCAATACAACGCAGTAATAATTCTAATTCTAATTCTAATAATAATAATAATTTCATTTTTTAGTGAGTTAAAAAAATAAAAATAAAAATACAATCATGTTTTCTTCTTCACCCTTAAAATAACTTATACTGTAACATTTAAGTTATACTATAACACTTATGAAATTCTGTAAAAATACTGTACCTAATTATATTAAAATTCTTTTCACTAAAGTCATTTATTTATTTATTATTAACAAGTTTTTCTCTCATTGGACTACAATTTGAAAAAAATTATAGACGTATAAATTCCCACTGTCGTCCGTCCGGCTGTCTGTCTATCCTTCCATAATTTAGTGAACGGATTTAGATAGATGAAACAAGAGACAAGATATAAAAAGCCTAAGGGCAGGAGGCCCCGATTAACTATATGCTAACTTCCGATACAAACCGAAAGTCACGTTATTTTAATTTAAAAATTTCTCCTGAAAGAAGTTAGATAGATGACCGGCACGACTCGATTGCTAAAGAAAGAGTATGATGAAAGAGGGGCAAGTCACTACTAATTTGAAGTGGAGAGCACATATTTTAAATTAAATAAATTTAAATAGACAAAGATATTTTCGAAAAAATGAATGCACGCAAAACAAATAATCAGTCTTCAGACATGAGCTGAGATAAATATCTGTTTTGTTTTTACACGCGTTTCATAATGTTCATTAAATCAATTTACTCTATTAAACGATTCCTTTTTACTTTTTTTCTTTTTAATAAAATGCTTTGATAAGATAAAAGCAAAATTGAAGTAGTTTTCTATATATCAGCGTGTCAAGATTTCTACATATCAGCGTTCACATCCCATCAATCTTATTGACAAAACGTGTAGATTAATATTCTCATTTTTGGAGAGAATTGATGTAATAAAGCAATGCAATACATGGGCTATCTGTCAAAGGGATTCCTCTAGGGAGGACATTCTATGGAAAAGTGGCCCCTGTTTAGTATTAGACACGTGTAGGAAACCAGAAAAACGCGAAATCGCCTCAACAACTACCAGTGTTCAATGGTTTTATCAACTCGGCCACTGGTGGGCCTTTTCGTCTTGCACTCATATACTGTATATATATTGTGTTTGCATTCAAAAATAGATAATGTTACAAAACTTATCAAGATGATAAAAATATAAAAACGTATAGCCTATATTTAATGAAATGTATTATATGTATATAATCTGATCGTTTATTGTCACAATAAATTTATAAAAATTCCAAATTTTTTTGGATATTAAAGATGGAAATATTTTGGATATTAGTCTTTCTAAATGATCTTACATTAAACAAAGCACGAATATAAATATATTTATTGCTCCTTTGAATATTATTAGACAAAAATGTCAATTTTAATTAAAATATCATACGTTCATATAATTAATGTAGACCTGTATCAACAATGTATAGGACAACATTCGTTACATAAACGTATGCTATTTTAAGATTAAAATTGAATTATCGTCTAATATTATGCAATTCACAAAAATTAAGCACAGAAGATATGAAAAGAAAAGAGAAAGAAATGTTTGAAGATGGAGGATTAAATCAAGATTATTGCATTAATAATGCAGTTAATATGGATCATTTTTATAGCTTCGTGATCATGAAATGTTTAACTTAGGTTAACAGTCGACTATTATTTTATCTATAATTTTTTTCCAAAGTATCATTGAGTGAGAATTAGCTTTATCTTTTCACATCGTAATTTAAAATTAAATTGTTTTTATAAATTTTTATTTAAATAATCAAACATTCTTCTAACCTGCGAAAAGTAATTCCAATATATTTTAAGTGATGAATATTTTATGAGAACAAGATACTTGTTTTAATCGTGTTTCAATCACGATTAGAAAGAAAAACAAAAATAATTAGAGACTATAAAATATTTCATACATATTTATAGAAAACAGATTGTATAAAAATGTATAGAGGTAGGCCTATAACAAATCTGTTGTACTGTACTTTGTTATTTTAAAAGTTGATCGAAATAAAATGAACATAATTTTATAAATAAGTAATCTTTCCGATAATGCAAATAATAAATAAATTTCTTAAATTTTTAGAATTAAATGCATAACAAAACGTAAAATTCAAAACTAATTATGAAAATTTGAAATTTCTTAAAAGTTTTCTAAATTAACTTCTCGGTGAAGACATTATTAATATATAATACTTTACATTATTTTAGCAGAATTATATAAATATCTTTATTAAAAATTACTATTATTAATAAATAAAAATTTTATATTAAATGTTTTAACTTATAAAACATTTGAAACATTCCAAAGAGAGTGTTTCGAACGATAACAATTCATCTCACGTCGCATAATTTTAATATTAATTTATATTTAAAATAATTTTAGCAAACTTTTATATACAATATTGATAATAACAACATTTAAAATATTTAATAAATATCAAATTATTATTATTATTATTTTATTTCTTTTTTAATTAAATAAAATTTTTAGAATTTTTGTTAATATTTTATTGTAACTTAATACAAAAATCTTTATTAGACTACTCATTTTTAATTACGATATCTATTTTAAACTATTCTTTATTAATATAAATGTCATAAATTTTCTTTTAGTTTAATTCAGAACCAAATCTATAAGAACAGTAATTAAATATTTCCAGTATAAAAGGATTTAGTTTTCCTTATGTTTAATAAGTCATTCGTTTATAAGCGTAACTTGTTAAATATTTATAATATAATATATTTTTTTAAATATATCGCTTGACTGTATACATCATACAATAAAGCGATATATCACTTTACTGTATAATGTATACAGTCAAGCGATGTATCTGTTAATAGGAAAATTCTCCCTTCATAAAAATATTTCGTATCTCTATTATGATTTATAAGGTTTATCATAATATAATTTATTAAACTTAATTATTTACTTTCTCTTTTAAATCAGTTCTTAATTTGATGACCATTTAATGATAAAGGATCAGATTTTAAGTATGTACATTACATAATTACGTTAATGATAAATACATCATTTAATTTCAATTTATGACAGATGAAGTAATTTAGATAAAAGGTTTTAAAGAATTTATTAATCAGTAAGATTTTTATTTTATTTTGTACGTCTATATTTATAAATTCAAACGCATTAGTTTAATTTCATATAAATTTATTATGAAAACTGTATTTTTTTTATTATCAAAATGAGATATGTTAAATTTCATAAATTAGCCTAATATAACTTATAATTACGAAAAATTAGAAGGAATATAAAAGTATTTTATACAATTACTATAATGTAAAGTACAAATAATTAGTAAATTTAATTGCATAACTTACCAGCAAGAGCTTTTGGATCTCTCCTTATTCGCGCCATTTCATTTGGTAAGATCTTCTGAAAAGATTCATCGGATGGTGCAAAAATAGTGTATGGCCCTCCTCGTCGTAATTCATTGACATGCTCCGATTGAACCATAGCACTAGAAAGTTCTCTAAACCTACCATCTTCTATTATTAACTCTGGTATAGATAATCTTTCGTATTTTCCTGGTGGTATTAATACTTCGTCTATGACATGTACAATACCATTTGTAGCATGATGATCTTTCCGGATGACCGGCTTACAATTCACCGTCATCATCTATAATAAAAATAAAATTTTCATTTGAAAAGAATAGCTTATAAAATTTTCGACTATAATAAACATTTCTAAATAATTCTAAAACCTTAAATTTTTAATTTATTAATTTATTTTTTAAACGATTACAAAACTTATTAAAATATTTTGAATTTTACAGGAAATTTGATTTAAAAAAATCAATAACTTACGCCATTGGAATACCTATTTACTCTTAAAATATCTCCTCTGTTTAAACTTGAAATTTCTTGATCCGCTTCAAAATCTCGAGAAAGCAATTTCTTTCCCACCATATGATAAAGTAAATACGAAGAATTAGGATTTCTCAAACTACGTTCTAATGCAGCTCTCTGGATAGAATTTAAACTCTGAAATAAAATCAATTTTAGAATTAAATAATGATCTATTTTTTAAATAATACTTTAAAAAAGTTTATTCATAGCTTGATGTTCAAATCCGTTGTGTAATAAGAACATAAAGTAATTAATTTAATTTCCACAATTTCTTATTATACTTTTATATTTAGATCAATATTTAGAGAAGTTATTTAATATATTTTATCTCCATAATTTACAAAATTCTCTTAAAGTTTATTAAGTTTTCATATTACATATTGACTGCATAAAAATTGATTATTTACTTACCTTTATCTAGTGACTTATATAATAAACTTTTCATAAAGGAAACCAAAATATTTACATGAATGTATTGTAGATAAATCGTAAATTAGAGACAAGATTTATTTATGCAAATCTTTTAAAGATTTTGTTAAAAATCTCATGGGTCAAAACAATCTTGAAACAATTGGAATGGCCTAGATCCTGCTTCGGAAAACATTTTCCCAATTCATTGACGTCATATATTCTTTAACAATAAACACACTTTCAAAGAATGCTAACAGCTGCTGACACTAACATAAGGTGACCTCATCACTTCAAAAAATGACCGTGGGCGGCTAGTTTTAGCATAATAGACTTTATTCGTCACAAACGTAATTCACGTGTTATATTTAAACCCCTAAAGAAATCTGTAATGTGTTTTCGTAGCTCTAATGGTTATAACTAGTCCTAATACCCATAAACAACTTTTTAAATTTAGTAATAAAACTGATAGATTATGCAATGAAACGGACATAAATAACGAAAAGAAATGTTTGCACTAAAATGCTATTTACCAAATGATTCCAGTCTCTTGGCCCAACCTAGAGACGGTCCCACCTGTCTAGATTATCAACGGTAGCGTTACAGAGATGTTTATCAGTATAGTAGTATTATCTCCGACATATTTTTATTATTCTCCACCCACCTTAAAGGCTTGGTTCGTTGGAACAAAAACAGTCATTGCCTCTCCGGGCAATCTTAGACGGTCTGCTAAACCTGCTTGGATAGCATAATCCACAAATTTAGTGGCTCCTAATTCCACCATTGTTTCCAGAAGGTTGAGCATAGGTTTCACTATAAAAAGAAGAAATAATAATATATACGTATACTGTTAATTTTCGACGATACAATACTCTAGCCTTATATTATTTAGATTTATTTAAACGAAATTTACCTCCGCTGCATCCAGGCTTTCCTCTGACTTGTTGAAAACCTTCGCAACATTCGTAACGTATCACTCTAAATCAAATAAATCTGTATATATATTATTAAAATTTAAAATAAAAATATGAATTTTAATACAATTACTTTTAATTCGCAATTGCATTTTTATTTTAAAGCTTTATTTAATAAATTCATGAATTTCCTGAACGTCGATGGTAAAGTATGTTGTAATGTTCAACACATTAACGTGACGGTGAGAAATATTCAAAGCTATTTTTTATTTGTCAAGCATTTCAACAGAAACAGATTTCAATGGTATAAAAGCAAGTAAAGCGAGAGAACTGAACTTTAAGGAGATTAAAAAGATTTAGCTGAATGCCTAGATTCTGACCTTGCAGGATAACAACTAACAATCTGTCATTTCTTTCGCCCACCGTTGAATGTCACCAGGTAAAAGTATTGAGTGTGGGTAGGTCATGTAGGTGTCTTTCCCATGAAGCAAATATGAAGATATTTGATAAAAAATTTTTTTTTTCTACGATAATAACTAACCGTAATGGTTCAAGATGAACAGCAGAGTATAAATCATGACTACAGTTTTCTTTTATTTGAAAGCAACATTGTGTAAAGTTACAATGTGACCGAAAATTACGAGAGTTTATATCACGATTATGTTAATAAAATTTTATTTTTATTTTCCACGGTGTTGATTATATTATTTAAATTATTTCTTATTTTTATTATGAGGCGTAATGTGTATATTACGCCTTTATATAAACAGAATATCTATATTATATAGATGTTCTGTTTACATAGATGTAAACTATATTATTTATTAAAAATATAAACTTAAATAAAGTTAAATGCAGTTAGAAAAAGTTTTCTTAATTTATCCTTCATTTAAAATTTAAAATAAATTATAAATTAAAAAATAATATTTCTTATTAAAAAGCCTGTCAGCATTTTTAGTAAGGTGTTTACTGATGGAAATTCGCTGCCATTTTATCGTAATATAACGCTCCACCCAGTTACAACAGCATGGACCAACACCTACATGTTTTCCATCTTACTGAGAATTTAATGCATTTTCGAAAGAGGTTATACGAATAAATGCAATATGCGTAACACGTGAATTGATAAAACAACTCAGATTTCCTCCGCCTACCAACATCTGACCTTAAATGGAAAAGGATGCTGCAGACCTAGTAACCCAGTATGAGACATCAAGACAATGATGGACTGCTGCGAGATTTAAGACTGATAGTAACGACGTCAAGCAGAGGAAAAGGAGTATAAACATTGAAGATTGCCAGTTTAAACATTGGAATCCAACCGAGAAAAAGCAATTTGTATTTAAAACAATTCTCTTGTGGTCTTGCTAAACTAATGGCTTAGGAATTTCTAATATGTCAAATCTTATCTTAAATAGGATATTTGTCTTTTCACAAGGTAAAATCACTGCAGGAGGCAGACAGTTAAAATTCTTGAAGATATAGATCACTTTTTTTTATTCCCAAGTTCTAAAATTTCAATTAAAAAAAAAACAACCAACCCATTTACATCTTACAAGTAAAATGCTTTTAGCATCTCATTTTCAAAATTATATTCCATAGGAAAAAAATTTCAAATATTCAGTGTATATAATCTCAATTAAACAAAAAGGAAACAAAAACACGAAGTTAAATCTGACGTATGCTGATGAGCATGTGATAAACAAAACACATCAATCTTGCTGAAATAAAGACTGATGTCAACGACCTTGACATAGTGCAAATGCATCTTAGAGGGGTGTTGTTACCGAGATAATATTATCGGACACCTTTCTCTTAAAGTGCATTAATTTGCTAATGATACTAATGCAAAAGCTTAAGATCAAGAACGATTTTTTAAATAAAAATTATCAACTTTTTAAATCAAATTTTAATCGAATTCGTGTAAGAACTATGTAAAAATATTTAATGAATATTTAATCTAAAATATCACGTAATCAGTTAATGGAAATTAGCTACCGTTTTAACTTTAAGAATGTATAAAGCATGTAAGATTTTATAAAGAAGAATAACGACTTTAAAAATGAATTTTTATCTTGATTTAGAAAATAAGATGACAAAACGATAACTTAACAAAATAAATAATTCTAAGAAATTTATTAGTTAAATAAAACTTGAAGTAGAAATTAGTCTCGAAGAAAAATAAATTAAGAAAACCGTTTGCTCGAATGTGTCGAGATGAGTGATTGTTACAACTTCTGCAACTAGTAAGTTTCTTTTCCTGGAGAAATCACTAGAAATATGAACAGGTTAGCAATTGCCGAGAAGAATTATCAATAAGATTTTTCCTCTACTTGTTGAATATCGAAGTCGATCATTCTTATTCAAGTCACATTTACTATGGGCGATGACCTACCGTAATGCATTGTTTCCCTTCAAGAATGTGAAATGATTTCAAAAAGAAATTATTATTACAACTTTCCACTGATTTAATACTTTATAAAAGCATTTTTATCCGTCTAGAAGTTTATGATAATAAATCTGATGATTTGATGTTGGAATTTTAATTTTATTCAACATACATTATTTAAATACTCGTATTATAAGAAATAGATAAAAAGTCAACGATTCAATCTCATTTGAAAAAGAAAATTATGTAATAATTTATTTAATAAATAGATGATAATCTTTTTTTTATTTTGAAAATTTATATGTATATTACGTTTTCGTTCCACAAACTTCACGATGCATCCAATATTTACATTCTGTCCAAAACTTCTTATTTGTTCCAGGAATTTCTTCAACAACACATGTGTTTGGCCTAAAATAAAATGATCATTATCATAATTTGACATTAAAATAACAAAATAAAATGTTAGTATATTCAGTTTCTATACACCATAAATCATATTTAATATAAAATTTTAACTATTACCTGTATTATTTTTATTAAATAAAAAAAATTCTCATACGTCAAGCAAATAAAAAATAAAATTTTATTTCACCTAACGATAACTAATCTGAAAATTTATGTACTCTAAATCTCCGTAAAGATTATAAATCATTAAAAATAATAGCTTTCATTTTGTGAAGATTAAAAATCCGAAGGGGTCTTTAATCCGTAAGATTAAAAATTTTTACTGAATAAAAAGCTTTAAATCAACCACAAAAAAATTTCAAATATTTTCATTAAATCCAGATGTTGTATAAACCTAATTTTTGCTCCTATATAACTATTGCATCATAACTTTAAAAAAATACAAGCGGTATATAGGTCAAGTCGAATCATAAAAAATGACATCATTTTTGCCCGGGTATAATATGTATATTTTTTAAAAATCTTTTTTTTTAATATGTAAGTAGATTGAGATGTATAAGTTTCTGTAGATGTCAAAATTATATACATATATTTAAAATTTAATATAAAAATGAATTTTTTTTGTTTGTTTCGAGTCAAACGATAGTAGTATTTTCTATATAATTAGTCTTTTCGTATAGAAAATTATGGAAAAACTAATTGTTTCCTCATTAATGTGGTGGAAAAATTGCCGTTACTGTTGCTTTAATTTACAGTATATAATTAATTTTCCTTTTTCCAGAAGATTTTCATCACATAATTAATTACGTAAGATAATAATCACTTAAGGATTTTCAGCTTTGTTTTCTCAACTTCTGTTAACTTAAGAATATTTTCATTTTTAATGCGAGCGTTAAACTTTCTTGTTTTTATTCAAGCAACTTGATACAATCCGTAAATTTATTTGTAGTTTTATCATATTTACAGTTTTAATATTTAACAAGTGAATGTAAAAACTAAGGCATCTTCCTAAACTGAGCAAAGATAGATTAAGACTTAAACGTAATTGATTAAGACAGTTGGAGATAACCACTGTATTTTATTTAAAGATGAACCTAAGATGAAGATTATAGTGTAGTGATAAGTAGTGAATGCCAATAAAAGTTTCGCTCTCTACTATACTCATTGGCTCGATGTGGGTGAACTCGTCTGTTGTCAGACAGGTGGACCAGATTCTTAACTCAAGGACATCAATTCTCATTCATTTGAAATAGCTTCAACCTTGGAATCAGATTAATGTAAAAAGAGCATCGAACTACTAACACAAAAATGTCGAAAAAAGTATTATATTTAAATACATTCACTTTAATTTGTTACGAATAGTTAGCTACCGAGATTCTTTCTAATATTTCAACTAAATTTTGATATTATAATTTTAAATTATATTTCATAATTTTCATAAATGAATAAAACATATTAATATCATAAAAATACTTTATTATAACAATATTCAAATTGCGCATAATATTTAATTATACTTTATAACATAATTATATATTAACTTGGCTNTTGACTAAACGTAAAAATTCTCTAATTAGTCTGGAAATGGGGGACCTAATTCTTGCATTCTGTGAAAACGGGTAAGATTAGCTATAATGTAATTATCTTAATCTTCACTATCGTTACTTTTTGCCCAGCGAAGCGGGTCCTTACAGCTAGATTCTAGATTACTTAGAAAAACAGTCTTTTATTTTATATAAAAAAACTATATTACTTACAAATAAAAACCCAGCGAAGCGGGTCCTTGCAGCTAGTAAATAAATTCCATAGCGTTACAAACGTGTCCGTGTGAACCGCGACATACGCATCGTTTATATAAGCGCGCATTTCTACTACATATATAAATATCTATTGGACTGCTCTATTATTATTTTTATTTTCCCTGAAAGATTTATACTTATCTTTCACTAGCAAAATCTTTTATTAAATCAATTATTTTGACAATAACAATAAGAAACTTTTAGTTATACTTTCTTGATATCAACATAAAATTTTACTGTAATTGCTTTATTATAAAACTTTATTGTTTTCTTCTGTTTTCAAAAGGCTTATGCCTTCATATAATCTAAGATAATACTAACATATTATTTTATGCTATGCGATTTATAAAGTTTAAAATTATTAATTTCGAAACTCTTAATCTAAAAAACAATTCATAAAACTTATAATTCTTTCATAACTAGTTAAATATATTGAATCGTTAACCATATATTAAATCGTTACCAGTTTATTGCCTAATCGGTAATTATATGCAATAAACTGGTAAATTTCTGACTTGTTTCGTAACAAAGGCAAGATTTTAAGACTATATTTTTATCGTTAAATTAATAATTATGTCTACAATTTATTGACATGAATATAAAGATCTAATATAAAAATAATCTAGACTTTCTTATTCTAAGAATTCATCATTATAGACATCATAATACCTGTATGTGTTGAACGTGAATATTATTCTAAATACCATAACCTTCCAAAAACTTAATTTAAACTTTCAGAAATACTTGTTTTAGCCTATAATAAAATATTTGATGAATAATATAAGAGTAATAAGTCCATAGCATACATTAAAACCAAATGTAAAACTTTTATTTTAAATGATGAATTAAACACTATCTTAATATGCACATGTAAAAATCATCTTATAATCAAGTTATTTTAACCCATCATAAACTCCAAGTTTTCTATAAAGGTAAGGACATATTCTCACTTTATTATACCCTTAGGCCTTTTTAAGAAATAAATTGATTCCTGCTTTGCTTGGAGCCGGATTTAATTGATTACATTATAAGCAGAATTTACAAAGATATTTTTTTGCTGTTATAAAAGAAAATTCAAAAAATTTGCCTTATTATAGCGCACATATAACATTTAGTATTAAAATGTTACAATATGTTAACAAGTTTAATGTACAACATAGCTTTATCGCCTACTTTGACAAGTTTCTCTTCTTTTCATATGCATAACCTTGACCTTGTGCCTATAATGATATGAAGTTCTTAGCACCAACTATTTAACCTATATTTCAGTTTAAGGAGATGAAAGGGCGGATCCTTGGAATGTAATAATATCGTTCTTGAAATATTTTAAAGGAGAAAAAAATTTCAAGTTTATCGTTATACATTCCTGCGTGGAACAAAATACATTTCAGTACTTCCATTAAATCAAAAATTTTTATAATTTAAACAGTGTATAAAAAATACTACATGATTATTTTTTCAAAGAATGAAAATTTATTAAACATTAATAAACCCATTTTGTATAATATTTTAAAAGGCCAAAATATAAATTAAATTTATTCTAACTTTCATAAATGTAATTTAATAATCTAAAGTTAATATTTTTGAATAAATAATTTAGATTTTAAGTTAACAGTGTGTGCAATGTAACTTATTTGTTACATATTTTATACCTAAGATCAAAAGCAATCCTTTAACATTGTTTAGCAAATTTATCCCATCACTAATAAATGCTCCTTCAAAGTACGTTGTAAGAAAATTTAATCTAAAATGCCTTTTGAATTACTTTATATTGTGTAAAACAGGCATCGGCTACAACAAAACCGTAATTTTGAAATAAATATTAAACAAAAACTATAAACTTTTATATTAAGATATTATTAAGAAATATTAAAAAAATAAATAAGTAAATTCTATAACAAAAACTATTAATTAGTATTTTATTTATTTTCTCTTTTTTAAAAAAGAAAATGTGTGTAAAATTTCGGTTCAGCCAATAGTTATTATCGTATATTGTATTACAAAATTTTGTATTATTTTAATTATAAAATGATTAGGACTTCTAATTCTCGAGCATTATTATTTTGAAATTCCAGATATCTCTAATTAAATTCTTTAATTTATAGTTCCATATTCGATTAAAATTATTTTAATAACTGACCAGAAGATGAATTATTAAATCAGTTTTACCATTGTATAGCCATTCATATTTAAAATTCTTAAAATTAGATATAATCTTTTATACAATTAGATNATTTTACTGTAATTGCTTTATTATAAAACTTTATTGTTTTCTTCTGTTTTCAAAAGGCTTATGCCTTCATATAATCTAAGATAATACTAACATATTATTTTTCGGATTTAATTCGTATAAAAGTAAGAAATAATTTTATATAAATTTAATACATTAAAAAGTATACTTTTGTGTAAAAAATAAACATAACCATTAATTGGCCTATATTTCAGAAACTACTGATCAGACAGCGTGAAACGAAACATACAGTACAAGCAAAACACTTTTCTTTATTCAACAAAATAATTGAAAAGCAAAATTTTAATTTAAAATACGTCGAACCCAAAGACAGCAAGAAAAATTACAAGCATTATTGTAAATCCTTTTGCACAGGAAATGATTAATGTAGCGTATGGTTGCCTCCTGCATACACACAACTGCACGACGATTGCTCATGCTGGTTATAACGTTATTTATCAGCTCTGTCGGGAGTAAAGTCCATACTCGAACAAGAGCATCTTGAAGCTACCGTAATGTTCTTGATGAAAGTTGAAGGGATACAATTCGTATATTTAGAGCAGCGATTCTCAACCGGGAGTACGAGTATCCACAGGGGTACGCGCTTGGTGGTTTAGGGATACGCGAAAAAATTAGTAAAGGCGGATGCACTGTAAGAATATTCGGATTCTGCGTTGAGGCCATTGGCGACGTCACGGCAATCGATTCTTAATTTTAAATAAAAATATAATTATATTTTTATTATATTTATACGTGTCCTACCTTCAACCCTTTTCAATTTATAAAACACTTTTTACATGTAATTATACAGTTCTGTGTAATTGACCAAGACATCACTGTTTGAAGACCACGCGAAATTAAACTTAAGAAAATGGGCTGTCAAGGGGTACGCAAGTCGAAAAAGGTTGGGAACTGCTAATCTAGAGCATTCCATACATGTTCTGTGGGATTTAGGTTCAGAAATCTTGATGGCCGTTCTATATGACAAATGTCTTCACTGTCAAGAGAAGTACAGCCTTATATGCGCGGATATTATCGTCAGTGAAAATAAAATCTATATCAACAGTACCAAGAAAAATCTCATCTCTAACTTTTTGTATATTGGCACCCCTTTCTAAAACGAAGAGCTTATTAGAGCTTGTTTACTTTTTGCTCTGTCTATTGAGTAGACGATTATGCTTATTTTTGAATATGAATGTAATTATATATTCAGTTACATTAATAGAATCTTTATAATTTTATAGACAATTTGATAAAAATTTATATTTCACGGTTAAAAATACAAATAATATCGGTAAATTTTTAAAAATTTTCTACATTTTTCATAAAATTTTGTAGCAATTTCCGAATAATCGAATGCTTCTAACTGCCTTCATATAATCTAAGATAATACTAACATATAGTACATTATATACGTGAGTTATTTCAAAAATATTAACATATCACAATAAAAGTTAAATTAATATTTAGTGTCATAAATATTTTCTTATAATAAAGAGTAAAGAATTTTTAACATTGAAATCTTTCAGTAATATTCTTTCAAGACCAATAAAATTTCAAAATCAACATGCTTTAATAATAAAATAATAGTAATTGTAATGTGTTTATTTGAAGTAATAATGATTAATGAAAATTATAAATATAAATCATAAAAATCATCGATCGTCTGATTGAAATTTTATTTATTTATTTACTAGTTTAGACTTTAAACCAAAAATTTTTCTAAAAAATACTAATTTACACAAAAAGTGTTATCATAATTTAACAATTTGTGGCATCAGATCGCATATTTTTAAATAAATTTAAATAGACAAAGATATTTTCGAAAAAATGAATGCACGCAAAACAAATAATCAGTCTTCAGACATGAGCTGAGATAAATATCTGTTTTGTTTTTACACGCGTTTCATAATGTTCATTAAATCAATTTACTCTATTAAACGATTCCTTTTTTACTTTTTTTTCTTTTTAATAAAATGCTTTGATAAGATAAAAGCAAAATTGAAGTAGTTTTCTATATATCAGCGTGTCAAGATTTCTACATATCAGCGTTCACATCCCATCAATCTTATTGACAAAACGTGTAGATTAATATTCTCATTTTTGGAGAGAATTGATGTAATAAAGCAATGCAATACATGGGCTATCTGTCAAAGGGATTCCTCTAGGGAGGACATTCTATGGAAAAGTGGCCCCTGTTTAGTATTAGACACGTGTAGGAAACCAGAAAAACGCGAAATCGCCTCAACAACTACCAGTGTTCAATGGTTTTATCAACTCGGCCACTGGTGGGCCTTTTCGTCTTGCACTCATATACTGTATATATATTGTGTTTGCATTCAAAAATAGATAATGTTACAAAACTTATCAAGATGATAAAAATATAAAAACGTATAGCCTATATTTAATGAAATGTATTATATGTATATAATCTGATCGTTTATTGTCACAATAAATTTATAAAAATTCCAAATTTTTTTGGATATTAAAGATGGAAATATTTTGGATATTAGTCTTTCTAAATGATCTTACATTAAACAAAGCACGAATATAAATATATTTATTGCTCCTTTGAATATTATTAGACAAAAATGTCAATTTTAATTAAAATATCATACGTTCATATAATTAATGTAGACCTGTATCAACAATGTATAGGACAACATTCGTTACATAAACGTATGCTATTTTAAGATTAAAATTGAATTATCGTCTAATATTATGCAATTCACAAAAATTAAGCACAGAAGATATGAAAAGAAAAGAGAAAGAAATGTTTGAAGATGGAGGATTAAATCAAGATTATTGCATTAATAATGCAGTTAATATGGATCATTTTTATAGCTTCGTGATCATGAAATGTTTAACTTAGGTTAACAGTCGACTATTATTTTATCTATAATTTTTTTCCAAAGTATCATTGAGTGAGAATTAGCTTTATCTTTTCACATCGTAATTTAAAATTAAATTGTTTTTATAAATTTTTATTTAAATAATCAAACATTCTTCTAACCTGCGAAAAGTAATTCCAATATATTTTAAGTGATGAATATTTTATGAGAACAAGATACTTGTTTTAATCGTGTTTCAATCACGATTAGAAAGAAAAACAAAAATAATTAGAGACTATAAAATATTTCATACATATTTATAGAAAACAGATTGTATAAAAATGTATAGAGGTAGGCCTATAACAAATCTGTTGTACTGTACTTTGTTATTTTAAAAGTTGATCGAAATAAAATGAACATAATTTTATAAATAAGTAATCTTTCCGATAATGCAAATAATAAATAAATTTCTTAAATTTTTAGAATTAAATGCATAACAAAACGTAAAATTCAAAACTAATTATGAAAATTTGAAATTTCTTAAAAGTTTTCTAAATTAACTTCTCGGTGAAGACATTATTAATATATAATACTTTACATTATTTTAGCAGAATTATATAAATATCTTTATTAAAAATTACTATTATTAATAAATAAAAATTTTATATTAAATGTTTTAACTTATAAAACATTTGAAACATTCCAAAGAGAGTGTTTCGAACGATAACAATTCATCTCACGTCGCATAATTTTAATATTAATTTATATTTAAAATAATTTTAGCAAACTTTTATATACAATATTGATAATAACAACATTTAAAATATTTAATAAATATCAAATTATTATTATTATTATTTTATTTCTTTTTTAATTAAATAAAATTTTTAGAATTTTTGTTAATATTTTATTGTAACTTAATACAAAAATCTTTATTAGACTACTCATTTTTAATTACGATATCTATTTTAAACTATTCTTTATTAATATAAATGTCATAAATTTTCTTTTAGTTTAATTCAGAACCAAATCTATAAGAACAGTAATTAAATATTTCCAGTATAAAAGGATTTAGTTTTCCTTATGTTTAATAAGTCATTCGTTTATAAGCGTAACTTGTTAAATATTTATAATATAATATATTTTTTTAAATATATCGCTTGACTGTATACATCATACAATAAAGCGATATATCACTTTACTGTATAATGTATACAGTCAAGCGATGTATCTGTTAATAGGAAAATTCTCCCTTCATAAAAATATTTCGTATCTCTATTATGATTTATAAGGTTTATCATAATATAATTTATTAAACTTAATTATTTACTTTCTCTTTTAAATCAGTTCTTAATTTGATGACCATTTAATGATAAAGGATCAGATTTTAAGTATGTACATTACATAATTACGTTAATGATAAATACATCATTTAATTTCAATTTATGACAGATGAAGTAATTTAGATAAAAGGTTTTAAAGAATTTATTAATCAGTAAGATTTTTATTTTATTTTGTACGTCTATATTTATAAATTCAAACGCATTAGTTTAATTTCATATAAATTTATTATGAAAACTGTATTTTTTTTATTATCAAAATGAGATATGTTAAATTTCATAAATTAGCCTAATATAACTTATAATTACGAAAAATTAGAAGGAATATAAAAGTATTTTATACAATTACTATAATGTAAAGTACAAATAATTAGTAAATTTAATTGCATAACTTACCAGCAAGAGCTTTTGGATCTCTCCTTATTCGCGCCATTTCATTTGGTAAGATCTTCTGAAAAGATTCATCGGATGGTGCAAAAATAGTGTATGGCCCTCCTCGTCGTAATTCATTGACATGCTCCGATTGAACCATAGCACTAGAAAGTTCTCTAAACCTACCATCTTCTATTATTAACTCTGGTATAGATAATCTTTCGTATTTTCCTGGTGGTATTAATACTTCGTCTATGACATGTACAATACCATTTGTAGCATGATGATCTTTCCGGATGACCGGCTTACAATTCACCGTCATCATCTATAATAAAAATAAAATTTTCATTTGAAAAGAATAGCTTATAAAATTTTCGACTATAATAAACATTTCTAAATAATTCTAAAACCTTAAATTTTTAATTTATTAATTTATTTTTTAAACGATTACAAAACTTATTAAAATATTTTGAATTTTACAGGAAATTTGATTTAAAAAAATCAATAACTTACGCCATTGGAATACCTATTTACTCTTAAAATATCTCCTCTGTTTAAACTTGAAATTTCTTGATCCGCTTCAAAATCTCGAGAAAGCAATTTCTTTCCCACCATATGATAAAGTAAATACGAAGAATTAGGATTTCTCAAACTACGTTCTAATGCAGCTCTCTGGATAGAATTTAAACTCTGAAATAAAATCAATTTTAGAATTAAATAATGATCTATTTTTTAAATAATACTTTAAAAAAGTTTATTCATAGCTTGATGTTCAAATCCGTTGTGTAATAAGAACATAAAGTAATTAATTTAATTTCCACAATTTCTTATTATACTTTTATATTTAGATCAATATTTAGAGAAGTTATTTAATATATTTTATCTCCATAATTTACAAAATTCTCTTAAAGTTTATTAAGTTTTCATATTACATATTGACTGCATAAAAATTGATTATTTACTTACCTTTATCTAGTGACTTATATAATAAACTTTTCATAAAGGAAACCAAAATATTTACATGAATGTATTGTAGATAAATCGTAAATTAGAGACAAGATTTATTTATGCAAATCTTTTAAAGATTTTGTTAAAAATCTCATGGGTCAAAACAATCTTGAAACAATTGGAATGGCCTAGATCCTGCTTCGGAAAACATTTTCCCAATTCATTGACGTCATATATTCTTTAACAATAAACACACTTTCAAAGAATGCTAACAGCTGCTGACACTAACATAAGGTGACCTCATCACTTCAAAAAATGACCGTGGGCGGCTAGTTTTAGCATAATAGACTTTATTCGTCACAAACGTAATTCACGTGTTATATTTAAACCCCTAAAGAAATCTGTAATGTGTTTTCGTAGCTCTAATGGTTATAACTAGTCCTAATACCCATAAACAACTTTTTAAATTTAGTAATAAAACTGATAGATTATGCAATGAAACGGACATAAATAACGAAAAGAAATGTTTGCACTAAAATGCTATTTACCAAATGATTCCAGTCTCTTGGCCCAACCTAGAGACGGTCCCACCTGTCTAGATTATCAACGGTAGCGTTACAGAGATGTTTATCAGTATAGTAGTATTATCTCCGACATATTTTTATTATTCTCCACCCACCTTAAAGGCTTGGTTCGTTGGAACAAAAACAGTCATTGCCTCTCCGGGCAATCTTAGACGGTCTGCTAAACCTGCTTGGATAGCATAATCCACAAATTTAGTGGCTCCTAATTCCACCATTGTTTCCAGAAGGTTGAGCATAGGTTTCACTATAAAAAGAAGAAATAATAATATATACGTATACTGTTAATTTTCGACGATACAATACTCTAGCCTTATATTATTTAGATTTATTTAAACGAAATTTACCTCCGCTGCATCCAGGCTTTCCTCTGACTTGTTGAAAACCTTCGCAACATTCGTAACGTATCACTCTAAATCAAATAAATCTGTATATATATTATTAAAATTTAAAATAAAAATATGAATTTTAATACAATTACTTTTAATTCGCAATTGCATTTTTATTTTAAAGCTTTATTTAATAAATTCATGAATTTCCTGAACGTCGATGGTAAAGTATGTTGTAATGTTCAACACATTAACGTGACGGTGAGAAATATTCAAAGCTATTTTTTATTTGTCAAGCATTTCAACAGAAACAGATTTCAATGGTATAAAAGCAAGTAAAGCGAGAGAACTGAACTTTAAGGAGATTAAAAAGATTTAGCTGAATGCCTAGATTCTGACCTTGCAGGATAACAACTAACAATCTGTCATTTCTTTCGCCCACCGTTGAATGTCACCAGGTAAAAGTATTGAGTGTGGGTAGGTCATGTAGGTGTCTTTCCCATGAAGCAAATATGAAGATATTTGATAAAAAATTTTTTTTTTCTACGATAATAACTAACCGTAATGGTTCAAGATGAACAGCAGAGTATAAATCATGACTACAGTTTTCTTTTATTTGAAAGCAACATTGTGTAAAGTTACAATGTGACCGAAAATTACGAGAGTTTATATCACGATTATGTTAATAAAATTTTATTTTTATTTTCCACGGTGTTGATTATATTATTTAAATTATTTCTTATTTTTATTATGAGGCGTAATGTGTATATTACGCCTTTATATAAACAGAATATCTATATTATATAGATGTTCTGTTTACATAGATGTAAACTATATTATTTATTAAAAATATAAACTTAAATAAAGTTAAATGCAGTTAGAAAAAGTTTTCTTAATTTATCCTTCATTTAAAATTTAAAATAAATTATAAATTAAAAAATAATATTTCTTATTAAAAAGCCTGTCAGCATTTTTAGTAAGGTGTTTACTGATGGAAATTCGCTGCCATTTTATCGTAATATAACGCTCCACCCAGTTACAACAGCATGGACCAACACCTACATGTTTTCCATCTTACTGAGAATTTAATGCATTTTCGAAAGAGGTTATACGAATAAATGCAATATGCGTAACACGTGAATTGATAAAACAACTCAGATTTCCTCCGCCTACCAACATCTGACCTTAAATGGAAAAGGATGCTGCAGACCTAGTAACCCAGTATGAGACATCAAGACAATGATGGACTGCTGCGAGATTTAAGACTGATAGTAACGACGTCAAGCAGAGGAAAAGGAGTATAAACATTGAAGATTGCCAGTTTAAACATTGGAATCCAACCGAGAAAAAGCAATTTGTATTTAAAACAATTCTCTTGTGGTCTTGCTAAACTAATGGCTTAGGAATTTCTAATATGTCAAATCTTATCTTAAATAGGATATTTGTCTTTTCACAAGGTAAAATCACTGCAGGAGGCAGACAGTTAAAATTCTTGAAGATATAGATCACTTTTTTTTATTCCCAAGTTCTAAAATTTCAATTAAAAAAAAAACAACCAACCCATTTACATCTTACAAGTAAAATGCTTTTAGCATCTCATTTTCAAAATTATATTCCATAGGAAAAAAATTTCAAATATTCAGTGTATATAATCTCAATTAAACAAAAAGGAAACAAAAACACGAAGTTAAATCTGACGTATGCTGATGAGCATGTGATAAACAAAACACATCAATCTTGCTGAAATAAAGACTGATGTCAACGACCTTGACATAGTGCAAATGCATCTTAGAGGGGTGTTGTTACCGAGATAATATTATCGGACACCTTTCTCTTAAAGTGCATTAATTTGCTAATGATACTAATGCAAAAGCTTAAGATCAAGAACGATTTTTTAAATAAAAATTATCAACTTTTTAAATCAAATTTTAATCGAATTCGTGTAAGAACTATGTAAAAATATTTAATGAATATTTAATCTAAAATATCACGTAATCAGTTAATGGAAATTAGCTACCGTTTTAACTTTAAGAATGTATAAAGCATGTAAGATTTTATAAAGAAGAATAACGACTTTAAAAATGAATTTTTATCTTGATTTAGAAAATAAGATGACAAAACGATAACTTAACAAAATAAATAATTCTAAGAAATTTATTAGTTAAATAAAACTTGAAGTAGAAATTAGTCTCGAAGAAAAATAAATTAAGAAAACCGTTTGCTCGAATGTGTCGAGATGAGTGATTGTTACAACTTCTGCAACTAGTAAGTTTCTTTTCCTGGAGAAATCACTAGAAATATGAACAGGTTAGCAATTGCCGAGAAGAATTATCAATAAGATTTTTCCTCTACTTGTTGAATATCGAAGTCGATCATTCTTATTCAAGTCACATTTACTATGGGCGATGACCTACCGTAATGCATTGTTTCCCTTCAAGAATGTGAAATGATTTCAAAAAGAAATTATTATTACAACTTTCCACTGATTTAATACTTTATAAAAGCATTTTTATCCGTCTAGAAGTTTATGATAATAAATCTGATGATTTGATGTTGGAATTTTAATTTTATTCAACATACATTATTTAAATACTCGTATTATAAGAAATAGATAAAAAGTCAACGATTCAATCTCATTTGAAAAAGAAAATTATGTAATAATTTATTTAATAAATAGATGATAATCTTTTTTTTATTTTGAAAATTTATATGTATATTACGTTTTCGTTCCACAAACTTCACGATGCATCCAATATTTACATTCTGTCCAAAACTTCTTATTTGTTCCAGGAATTTCTTCAACAACACATGTGTTTGGCCTAAAATAAAATGATCATTATCATAATCTGACATTAAAATAACAAAATAAAATGTTAGTATATTCAGTTTCTATACACCATAAATCATATTTAATATAAAATTTTAACTATTACCTGTATTATTTTTATTAAATAAAAAAAATTCTCATACGTCAAGCAAATAAAAAATAAAATTTTATTTCACCTAACGATAACTAATCTGAAAATTTATGTACTCTAAATCTCCGTAAAGATTATAAATCATTAAAAATAATAGCTTTCATTTTGTGAAGATTAAAAATCCGAAGGGGTCTTTAATCCGTAAGATTAAAAATTTTTACCGAATAAAAAGCTTTAAATCAACCACAAAAAAATTTCAAATATTTTCATTAAATCCAGATGTTGTATAAACCTAATTTTTGCTCCTATATAACTATTGCATCATAACTTTAAAAAAATACAAGCGGTATATAGGTCAAGTCGAATCATAAAAAATGACATCATTTTTGCCCGGGTATAATATGTATATTTTTTAAAAATCTTTTTTTTTAATATGTAAGTAGATTGAGATGTATAAGTTTCTGTAGATGTCAAAATTATATACATATATTTAAAATTTAATATAAAAATGAATTTTTTTTGTTTGTTTCGAGTCAAACGATAGTAGTATTTTCTATATAATTAGTCTTTTCGTATAGAAAATTATGGAAAAACTAATTGTTTCCTCATTAATGTGGTGGAAAAATTGCCGTTACTGTTGCTTTAATTTACAGTATATAATTAATTTTCCTTTTTCCAGAAGATTTTCATCACATAATTAATTACGTAAGATAATAATCACTTAAGGATTTTCAGCTTTGTTTTCTCAACTTCTGTTAACTTAAGAATATTTTCATTTTTAATGCGAGCGTTAAACTTTCTTGTTTTTATTCAAGCAACTTGATACAATCCGTAAATTTATTTGTAGTTTTATCATATTTACAGTTTTAATATTTAACAAGTGAATGTAAAAACTAAGGCATCTTCCTAAACTGAGCAAAGATAGATTAAGACTTAAACGTAATTGATTAAGACAGTTGGAGATAACCACTGTATTTTATTTAAAGATGAACCTAAGATGAAGATTATAGTGTAGTGATAAGTAGTGAATGCCAATAAAAGTTTCGCTCTCTACTATACTCATTGGCTCGATGTGGGTGAACTCGTCTGTTGTCAGACAGGTGGACCAGATTCTTAACTCAAGGACATCAATTCTCATTCATTTGAAATAGCTTCAACCTTGGAATCAGATTAATGTAAAAAGAGCATCGAACTACTAACACAAAAATGTCGAAAAAAGTATTATATTTAAATACATTCACTTTAATTTGTTACGAATAGTTAGCTACCGAGATTCTTTCTAATATTTCAACTAAATTTTGATATTATAATTTTAAATTATATTTCATAATTTTCATAAATGAATAAAACATATTAATATCATAAAAATACTTTATTATAACAATATTCAAATTGCGCATAATATTTAATTATACTTTATAACATAATTATATATTAACTTGGCTCATATTTATAATAATATTTAAGAATTTATAATGCAGATTATCGATGATAAGACAAAACTCTTAACTTCTACTATAAAGTATTTTCTCATCTCAATAAATCATGTAGCTTTTACTAAAATAAATTTTGTGAGAAAGAATGTGCAAAGAATGACGCTTATTTATCTTTTACAACCCATGAGAATACTAAATTTGTCCTTCGTGAAGCTAATTTACATAATATATTCCATTATTTCACACATAATACATTCCTACGCGTTTTAATAGCAAATAAATAACTAAATTAATATTTAACTTTATGCAAGATAAGATGTTTTGCCAGATAATTAAAATCCGTTTTTATTATTCTCAAGCATAAATTTTTTTTTTCGTTTTTCATAAAATGTTGAAAGTATTCAAACAAAGTAAGGAAAGTAGCTTTAATTATTGTCGAATAACATCGCGAAGTAGCTCTAAAATTAATCTTATCAAGTTTATAATAAATCGCTTTTTTCCACCCGTGAATTGAAAATTATTATAGTATATGGCTAAAAATAAAATAAAAATAATACATATAAAATGTGTTCTCCTTGTTTTTCATTTGTTATAAACCTACAAAGTAGCATATAACATGTAAAACTACAGTCATTGACAATGTTTTATTTACATTAAAGGTAAGAACGGTAATCAAGTTGTCAAATCAATCACCGATATTTATAAATGTATAAATTGGAAATTCGGTCGACCGACATGCGATGGTTAAATTTTAACGTTCAAATGTTCATATGTTGAATTGTAATAGTTAAATTTCCAGCAAATCAAATACATTTTTTAATATTTAAAATTTCTAGGCTTCATATTAAATTATGCGTATCGTGTTACTTGCAATGTACTGTGCTGTACAATTATACAGATCCATAGATGAAGTCCATTTTAATAATACTGATAAAGTTATAATGGTTCTTCTACAAAAAACTAAGCTTATGCATAAATATTAACTTATGATTGCCTGGCAGGTATACAACAAATCTTAGCTTTTAATATGTGCATTATTGCTCGATAGATATATATACAGACGTATATAATTATGTATAATAAAATGTTCACGTACGGAATTATATTTAAACGACAATAGAGAAACAATGCGCCTATAAAATTGGCATGTTCGTACAAAATAGAAGATAAAAAAATTAATTATGTATAATCTTACTATAATAATGCTTCGTAAAACAATGTGTATAGGATTAAAATACAGTCAGTTCAGAAATTAAGTTCAGCTGTAGGCCTATGTTAAAACAAAAAGAGGTTAAATGAATGCAAAACAAGAAATCACTTAAAAGAAAACACTTAAAACTCGAATAACTTGGATAGTGCAACTCGTTTTGAGCCAGATATCGAACGATCGTGATCCGTATTTTAATAAAACCCGTTGAAGAATGTAGCCTACCAAGTAACTTTTACTGATTCACGTGGATGTGTCAGCGAATGATTTATATACAGTACATAGTAGTAGGATCCAAGTCGTACCAACAGCTCTTCTCTTGATCCTGCGACTATCGTTAACACGTCAAAATGCAATTAGGAGAGGCTGTAATCTTCGATAGTTGTCGTCGCATCAAATCACTTTTTGACATTAAGGATACTGTTTAATGACTTGCAAAGTGTTCGTTTTAACATCGTTCCCTTTTGCTTATTAGAATTCAATTCATTCTAACACTTTATTCCGAATAGATTTTTAATGTTATAAACACATTATAACTAGAATTTGCTAAAAGCAATTATTTATTCATTAAAAAGTAAATCTGTAATGAAAAATTTCAACACTGAATTTTAATTAGATGTAGTTTATAAATGTTAATTTATGTAAAAATAATAATCGTGCAAAGTTATTCTACTCTTTATTTAAGCGTAATGTTTATACGATTTTTATATTTAAAAACATACAAACTATAATTATTCTTATCTCATTTTCTTTTCTTTAAAACTATATAAAACAAGAAAATCAATCAAGATTTTACATCATAAATAAGAACGCATAAAGATACCATATGATTTAGCACAATTTCGTGACATGAACTGCATACTGTGCCTTTTTTTTAATAATCATATTGAATGAAACATGAGCAAAAGTTTGCACTTTAAATTGCAAGAACAAATTAGTCTTTGTAAAGGTATAAAGATCGTGTTAGACTTCGTACAGTACATAAAATATTTCACTTATAAAATTGCCAAGCGTGTTTATTTTTACAAATAAAAATAAAATTTTCATTTTAAATCGGTATAATTTACAACTTTCTATCGAGAATAGTGAAAAATATTCTCATTTTAAATGTAAGTAAGAAACTTTCGCTAAATTTTAAAATAAAAAAAGTAATAAAATAACTTGTAAAAATATGCATATTAAACTTACGATAAGTTCACTAATGAATATGATCTTTTTTTTTGTCATTAATAACATATGTTTTGCGTTTTTAATGTATGTGTCCTTAGTTATTCGCAGATTTTAACAGCAGATACGTATGTTACTCACTTAAGATACTGTTATGTTATTACCAAGATAAGAATGACGTGAATTTAATGGAAAAGTAGTAACCACGATTAACATCCTGTTATACTATAAAAGGCATACATATTTGATCGATAAAAATCAAGGCCATAAAAGTTTTCTGCCAAGAAAAACAAATTCAAAATGATACATGCAAATTTGAAAAAAATGTCTAAAAGTTGTAGTTACAAATTTAATTTTTGTAATTTTGTATACATAACTTTACTTACAATTAGAAATTTCAATCAACTTCACAGAAATTTTTAAAGTGGGCGAATTATTAATATTTTACAATACGTCAATAAAATTTTATAGATTAAGTAGTTTCGTTTAAAGTGTAAGAACCTCCGTAATTTAGATAATTGAATAATAGCACTATAACTTTCACAGTTATTTTAAAATTAGTAATAAAAGATAATAACCAATTATTTCTAAAAGTGCATTACACTCTTATAGATATTATTTTTATATCGTGGATACAAAAGATTCGATATTATCTGTATGAGAAAACTGCTAAATATAAAAAAAAACTTATTTGTAGGAAAAAAATTCTTTGAAGTTCAAAGAGCACATTAATTATAACATACATTAAAAGATTTAATTGAATTATAAACAAAATTTTAATGAGAAATAATATATTTAGAAGTGCAGCTATCAAAATTTCAAATGAAATAATTTAAAGATCGTCGAATAAATTATTTGAAGATTCTTTAAATGTCTTTCAATAAAGATTCTGCAATAGATCTTGAATAACAAAAAGTTTTCCTTTTTTTTTCTTCTTTTTTTTTCGTTTTTCCAACTGAAAGAATCGACTAAGAAAATTTATAATGATCAGATGTTATCTTTACGACCGAAATAATCATGATGTCCGCATTGGTTAACGTACACTGCTTCACCTTTCTTTTTTTTTATATTAAAACTATCGTATAATTAAACGACTATTTGTATAAGCAATTTATTTTTTTTCTTTTGTTTTTTATTTATTTATTTTGCTCGTTCCTTATATTTAAATCTAGAACAAAAAGATGGAAAATTTAAGAGTAATGTTTTAATGATTAATGATCGATGAAAAATAAGTATTCCATTCTAAAATTATACGATGCTTTATGTAATCGAATTTACGATAGAAATAGAATAGCTCCAAGGACGAATATATTACTAAGTCATTCTTCTTGTCACATATATTCTTGTTGTGAAATTACAACAATAAGAGTAAAAGCTATAAATTTTATTGCACCTTTCATAAGAGACTGCCATTTTAGAATAAATTCGATTTATTTTTTTAAACTCTTGTTTAATTTTCAATATAGAAAAAAAAATAGTTTTAAATAAGAAGTTCCTTTTCTTGTAAATAAGTCAGGAAGAGGTGTATTGATCTAATTTAAACGTGTTTCTTTCAGGTTAAGTTTTTGTACTACAAAACCTTTACATAAAATATTTTCTCGATAGCATTAATTTTTGCATAATTTTACATTAAATATACTCAATATACTTGCTCAATATAACGTTTTAAAATTCAATTTTGGCCTTTAAAATGGCCAAAACTATTGTTTAAATTAATAAAATGATTATTATATTTAGCCTTTAAAGTTAGCAAGACTAATAAATATCTTTCATTAAACATTTTAAGTATGTGGGTTGTTCGTGTTTACCGAAATGACTGTTAAATAACTCAAAAGAGAACATTTTGAATTTTAATTGCATAGGAAAAAAAAGTAAAATGATCTGATTATAAAAAAGTTAATTAAATTTTTAGATGCCTCGGGCATCGAGTTATCTTCCAAAACGAGGTATCACTCACCTCCAGATTCTACTTTTGAGATTAGAGAAGATCTACTTACCCTTGACTTCTTGCCATCCTTAAATGCCACGGTGGTACCCTGCGACCCTGTACGGCGGGAATAGTAAAGGGTAGCAGCAGGTGTACCATCATGTCCATAAAAATAATCAATGCCATTAACGAAAACATATTGGCCTCTTGCGTCTTCGGTCGGTCTGTTGATTTTATAATCAAAATCGTCTCAGCTGCTTATAAAAGTCTACTGCTTCGTCACGTACACGCGTGTCTCACGTCACGAACCATCACGTTGCGTTAATTCCCGCTACGGAAGGTCAAACTATGTACCACCCTCACACTTCCACGCTATTCGCCACAACATCTGTCGGAGTGAATGCCGGATAGTCACATGATTGTGAAGTCACGCATTTGAGGCGGGGTATTGGTAATGACGTCATTATGATTACTTCCGTGAGGCAACGTCCTTGTCGGTAACAAAAGTAGAGATTTCTAAACTAACCGAACTTCTTTCTAGTGTCCGACCAGATTCTGTCCGATTGACAGCCGGGCTTGATTTCCGGAAAAAAATTCGACCATAGATCGTAAACACGCCCAGAACTCCGCCTTGTGGACGATAAACAAACTAAACTGATAGGCCTAGAAGAAATATGCAAATAGCATACACAGTATTCTAATACTGATAGGTCTAGGCAGAATCCATGCCAGAAGATTTGATTTCTCTTATACATTTTACTAGATATTATATTAAATAATAAACTTTTAAACCTTCGTAAATTGAAAATTATTAGATGACATTTCGCAAAATCGCTTACCAAAGAAAAATGATTAGTGAGAAATTTTTTCTTATTTTAGAAACTTTAAGGACTTCATTTTTAATAACATATAATAAGTAAAGATCAGAAAAAAAAACTGTATTGGCTGTAACCGAGTAAAGCATTTATATGAATATCAACAATAAATCTGCATACAACAATATTACCTATTTTTAAGCAATGATGTATTTCATATACTATCGTATTTTCTTTGCGTTAATGGTAACTCTCATTGTAATTATTTAATTTTTCTTATTTTAGAGAGTATAACTCTATACTTATTAGTGCAATCATTTCAGAAATATAATTTCCAAATATAAATGTGTAGGAATTTGTAGATTCTTTATAAATTTGTACTGTACATGATTTCAAGTAAGTATTTTTAAGAAATTTATTAAATAAATATTATCACTGCGCTTAGATAAGAGTTTTAAAAGGAATTTTTAATTCTGTAACTCAATTTTAAGAAATTTGATCAAAGTTCTTCTGTACAATGTAATATTGTTGATTTATACTGTACATTTTTGGGTAGTGTTTCTATTATAGCTTATTGTATAATTCAAATTTTATACTAAATAATTTTTAAAATTTATTTCTTATTAATAATAATTTCTTTAATGATAAATTCTAAATTTAAAAAGTTCAAATAAACATATTTTTATATAATTTATTATAATGTATTTGATGTGAAATTGTTCTATATGATTATACAATATCAGGACCGTCGTAAACTTGGTATAGTCCCGGGTATAGAGAGTGCCTCTTTTGCCTTATTATTATTTTATTTTATTTTATTATTTTATTTTTTGAAGAAATGATGAAATACATGGAATGTTTCTTTATCAATAAACAACAACCGTAAAGATTTCATTTTTTTGTTAGTAAAAATGACATTAATTTATAGGGATGAGAACCACTACGACTCCCTAAGTTTTCCTAGGACCCTGCGATTCCCTCTCAACAGCCCTACATAATATATAGTATATAAAATCGTAAATTATTTTATATAGTTTCTATTAAGATTTAAGAAATGTAACAATTTCAAATAAAAATATAGTTTAGTATAAATAATAAAATTAAATAATTTCGTTACATATTCGTTCTTTATTTCTTCTTATAGCTATGATGTTCATTTTTCTGGAAAATGAAATGTAGAATGTAATTACAATAAGAGGAATTAAGAGAGGAAGAATTAACATATTAAAGTTTTTACTCTTTAGCAATATTACAATGAAAATTATGAAAAATCTCGAATCCTCTTTCAAAAACTGTAATAATAAGGAAGAAGCCAAAAAAATACAAAAGTAATAATAGGACTAAATAATAAATATTCGTATGTCCTTGACTGACTTATTGTATCCTGTAAGGAAGAGATGATAACAGATGACGTCACGGATGAGGAGGTGGCCGTTGACAAATTTGTTCCGTTCTCTAAAAGCGCAAAACTATTATTCATTACTTTTCTACGAAGAACAGTTGTTTTTCGTAACATCTTTTTCCATAAACGTATCGAATAATAAAATCCTAGTATAAGTACTGTATCAGTTAATGACACAAATTCTCTTTTAATAAATATAGTAATTAAATTATAACAGTTTATGATTGTTAGAATATAAAATATCATTATCAGAACGCTTAAATTAGATATCATATAATTATATAACTAGTAATAACATAAAAATTGTCAACATGAAGGATGATGTTTCTTTTAGGAGGACAAAGGTTAAATTTTTAAGGAAAATTAGTTAGCTAACAAGTGCGGCTGAATCGGATTAATTAGAAGGATTAGATATGATATCCAATTTATCTTACAACTACTAAATAATTGATCATTTCAGAGTGGCACTAATTAAGCATCTAATGAATCGCTTGGAGTTTGAGACTTTTCAAAGACTCTTGTAATTGGGAGTAAAATTAATTAGTTTTTTTTTTCCTATTGAATCAACTTATATGTCTATTTGAAACTTATTTTCTGAATGAACAAGTGTTATATTCTTTTACATTTAATTTTTGAACAGGATTGTTAAATGTATTAATTATATAATAATATTATTTTTAATAAATGAAGTTTTAACAATTGATTTTTATATAATATAATATAGAAAAAAAAAACCTCTTTAATACTCTTTTTTAGTATATATTTATTTACTGAAAATTTGTAAGGACAATAAATTAAAGACAAGAAAAATTTATATTCTAAATTAATGAGGTTGTAGGTTAAAGATTTTTCCGTGGAAATATTTTTAATCATTTAACATTAGTTTTAAAAGATGATTAAGACTTGCACAAAAAAAAAAATATTTTTATGAAAGAATTTATTTTGGTCTGTGATTAAATAATAGTCCTTGGCCTTAAACTTTTAAATTTCGTCACGTTAGTTATGAGGGAGTTACGATGACGTGCAAGCATGCTTAACTTATCTCTTACTTTCGAAAAGTAGTAATGAAATCCAGTAATTTCGGATTATAAATCTTAAGCTGCGTGATTATATTAATTATTTTCAAGACTAAAATTTCTATAAAATTATTTGCAAAATGGGGGAAAAAAACTAAAATTCTTAATATGTATTATTGAAAATAGTTCCGATTCTTATCAATTTAGGCTATCTCAGTATTTTAATGACCTCTACTTTAGGCCATGTAGATCTTTAGGCCTACAATATGTTACCAACAATCTGTCTTTTTGACATCACAATTACACAACAAAAGAGGGCATGGATTTAAAACTTGGTTCCACCCAAACTTCTAGTAAGGCTATAAATATTGTACGATTTACATAAATAAAGATGTTCAAGATTACGTACAGTACCTTCTAGCACAGTTTACCAATTATTTTCGAGTTATTACTAGACTAAAGATTATTTTATATTTTTTTAAAAACAAAAACGATTATTTTTTAAACTAAAAAAATAGCAATGATGTGATTGAAAATGAGTTAAAATGAGTCAAAGATATAAATTAGTCACAACATTCCACGAATTATCATCAATTACACTAATTTAAGCGAAGGAGTTGGCTTATTGCAATGTGACAGTGCAATAATTTAAAATTTAATTAGTCTTAATATTTTATTTATTAAAATGTGGGATTACGAAGTTTTTCAAATTGTGGGTGTATTTTTTCCGGAAACTTGTATAAATGTTCATTAGTCAAGTTGACTTTTAAATAAAAGGCATTCAATATTAAGGGAAATGGTATTGGCGTGTCTTAAGTAAAGGGGTGTTAAAAATTTTCTATCTATTCATCCATTCAGTTATGCAATTTTGCATAACTGAATGGATGAATAGATAGAAAAATAGATAGGTGTATAAATAGGCTAATTTGCTGTATTATGTCATGAAAAATTTTAAAATTATACGTAAGCTCACTAATAAACTTTCTATTGANTAATTACAATAAGAGGAATTAAGAGAGGAAGAATTAACATATTAAAGTTTTTACTCTTTAGCAATATTACAATGAAAATTATGAAAAATCTCGAATCCTCTTTCAAAAACTGTAATAATAAGGAAGAAGCCAAAAAAATACAAAAGTAATAATAGGACTAAATAATAAATATTCGTATGTCCTTGACTGACTTATTGTATCCTGTAAGGAAGAGATGATAACAGATGACGTCACGGATGAGGAGGTGGCCGTTGACAAATTTGTTCCGTTCTCTAAAAGCGCAAAACTATTATTCATTACTTTTCTACGAAGAACAGTTGTTTTTCGTAACATCTTTTTCCATAAACGTATCGAATAATAAAATCCTAGTATAAGTACTGTATCAGTTAATGACACAAATTCTCTTTTAATAAATATAGTAATTAAATTATAACAGTTTATGATTGTTAGAATATAAAATATCATTATCAGAACGCTTAAATTAGATATCATATAATTATATAACTAGTAATAACATAAAAATTGTCAACATGAAGGATGATGTTTCTTTTAGGAGGACAAAGGTTAAATTTTTAAGGAAAATTAGTTAGCTAACAAGTGCGGCTGAATCGGATTAATTAGAAGGATTAGATATGATATCCAATTTATCTTACAACTACTAAATAATTGATCATTTCAGAGTGGCACTAATTAAGCATCTAATGAATCGCTTGGAGTTTGAGACTTTTCAAAGACTCTTGTAATTGGGAGTAAAATTAATTAGTTTTTTTTTTCCTATTGAATCAACTTATATGTCTATTTGAAACTTATTTTCTGAATGAACAAGTGTTATATTCTTTTACATTTAATTTTTGAACAGGATTGTTAAATGTATTAATTATATAATAATATTATTTTTAATAAATGAAGTTTTAACAATTGATTTTTATATAAT